ATTACAAACACATTAATAAGCCTTGCCTATAAGGTACACAATTGTGGATTATGTTATAGGTAACACTTAACAAGCTTTATGTTTAATTTAACTGATAATTGTTACATGTGAAACTGCATATTACATAAACCATATTTTAGTCATGCTAAAGCTATACTGAATTTGTTGCTTTGTTAAAATATGTCAAGAGTGATGGTTAAAAAACTGTACGTCCAGTTTTTAACATCACACTTAACACAATCATAGTGAGTTCGATTACTGGTACTTGTATAAAACAATGATGTCACACTTAGCTAGGACACTTCTACTGTTAAACCAATTGCCTAGATTTCATGTAGGCCTTAGAATAAGAAATTGGGAAGAGCTCCTTTATATGTTTTGATTTTTTTTAAAATTATTTTAAAGAGATATATATTTAAAAAGATATAAAAAATTCTATCAGACTCTTATGTAATAAATGTTTAAATAATTAAAGAGTATTTTTTTTTTTTTATAATTATTTTTTAGCTCCAGGAAATAGACATCAGTATCTGAAGAGTTCTCACTATTTCTTATCTTAAAGCTTCACATATTACTGTCCATGAAATCATTTATTCACTTTCAGATGTGTTATGCAGTAAATATATTGAGCATCACGAAAAAAAAAAAAAGTTATTGCTCTTGTCATTTTTTTTTAATCAGTCTAGAACCAAAGCTGTTGCATGTATCTAGTTATTGCAATGTTTTAGTAAATATCTATCAAATATTATTTTACTAATACATTTATATCTATGAGTGAATGCACCCAAAGACATGAACGTCGTCAAGGGATGTATTCTAAATGGGTTAACTTTTTGTCGTAAATAAAGTTGATGAAATATCGTTTGGTGTGCAATATTGAGTAGTATATAAGGGATTGAGTTGATGCCATGTAAAGTAAATAACTGGTCGAAAAGATATATTAGGCTTGAAATTAAAATACAAGAGGATTAAGCGCACGTTTCGGCCAGATGTTTTCCTCAGCAGACAACAAAAGACAATGAACAAGATGTCAATTAAGTCAATGTAGCTCACATTTCAGAACAGGAAGAGCTCTTTGTTATTGTTAGAAATGGAAGTTGAGTTGTTTAAACCGAAATCGCGCGTCCCACATTATTCTGTGATGCGTATTATAACAGTTAATTAATTCAAGTAGTATTCATGTAAATTTTTATCAGCAAAATATTGAATAGTAAACGAGTAAAATAAAGGATCACTAATAAGTGAGTTTTTTTTATTAATTTCATATCGCGATGTCGTGCCAAAAATTGGAATTAAATTGTTTTTATTCTTCAGTATCGCTGGTGTGTTGATGCAAGAAATTATGGCCTTAATGGATACAAGTGTATAGCCCTTGTGTTCACCTCTGTTAAAACGGGATGAGGCCGGGAAATAATTTGTTTTCTTCAATATCTCAAAGATGTTCACTGAACCTATTAGTTAGCCACTATCCCGTCTTGTGTAGTCATTGCAAATTATTTGTTTGTTACGTCCCTTTCTAGTCATCAATTTTTTTTTTTTTTTTTTTTTTACAAAGCTAAATAAACCTTTTTTTTTTTTTTTTTTTTCTTTTTTATTATTTTATTTTTTTTTTTTTCTTCCCTGTTTAAGCCTTTATTTTTTTTTTTTTTTTTTTTTACAAAGCTAAATAAACCTTTTTTTTTTTTATTTAGCTTCTCATTAATTATTTTAATAGAAACAAGATATATTCAGGCTTTTTAATTACTTAACATGGCATAAGCACAATCCCTCATATGTTAATCCTATTTTTCAACAAAAAAAAAGTGTTTAGTGTTTGGGAACTGTGGCATTTCGATTTTTCATTAGTTTTAAATGTAATTTATTTAAATGTATGTATATATTTATCTATTTTAATTAATGTACACAAATCATTTACATTAGTTAATCAAGGAAAATGATGAAAATAATGAGCCCACCAAAACAACTTAACTGATTTATTAACTGTTCTGATTTTAAAGAGGCATAACAACACGAATATAAAGTTACAAAATTTATTTATCGGGGTAATTTATTTTCAGACAAAAATTGTTACTTTTATTTTTTTTAATTTTAGCTTTGGATAAAATAATAGTTATGTAAATGACTTCTTTTATTTTAATTTTGTCATCCCTTTTCAAACATAAAATGTGATGATAGTCTTGTTAAGATAGTTTCCTATTTATTGTGGTGGGGCTCTCTGTAATTTTATTCAATTTCTTTCTTTTTTTTTTTTATTGTTATGACTAACATAGTAATAGAAATCTGGCATTTTTCGTGATGAAAACAGACGAAAGTTGCCACATTTGCCATGTGATCTGTAATTTTTTTTTTTTTTTTTTTTTTTTTGTTATTTTTTTTTTTTTTTTTTTTTTTTTATTACTAACATAGTAATAGAAATTTGGCATTTTTTGTTATGAAAATAGATGAAATTTTTTATTTTTGTCATGTGATCTTTAATTTTTTTTTTTTTTTTTGATTTGGATATTATTTCTCTTGTCTGTCGAAGAGTGCAGAATTGTATTCAATATGGTTTATATACCCGTTTCACAGACTGATCATCCATAGTGAACTTTATATGATTCAAACGACAAAGGCAGTGTTTCAGATGCCCAAATGTATTTTTTCTTTCACAAAAGCCAATTTTATATTACATTCACGTGTGAATTCCCATAAGCTTATACATCAAAAAATTATTGCAATTTGAATGTTGATTGACTGTGAACTTTGCCTGTTTTGAATTTCTGTGTGAAATACTAATAATAAAAAATGTGTAAGGAAATCTAAAGCTTTGATATTTTCAAAACTATTTTAAAACTCTTCTAACTAATCTTATACTACATCATGGAGTTATCAATATTTGTAACTTAATTTCAATCCACTTAATATTTATACATTTAATTCACTAATTTTGTTTATTTATTTGTTAACTTCAAAGACATCTCTATGAAACTCTCATTTAAATTCATATCTTTAAACTTGACTATATACTTCCATCCATTAGTTTAACTCATTTCAAATCAAAACTTGTATCAAAGTTTGTGTGTAATACTAAAGATTTTGATTCAATTATTTATACATTTTAAATAGTGGCCTATATTTTAACAGCACCCACCCCCCACCCCACCACAAAAAATATAAAAAATCCTAATCCCTCCAAATCACATTTCTCTAACACTTTAAATAGCGAGACAAATATTCCAAAGTAATATCAAAAATTTTTATTAACAAATTGAAAAAAAAATTTTTAAATATTGGATATAAACAACTTAAATAAAACAAGCAGGCCTGTAATTTGTTCAATGCAATAAAAACAATATTACTGCAATTTGGAGAGTTGAGTGGAAAAGTGCATGGAGATTTTTAAACAATAAAGACAGAAACTATTAATTAGCTTCATATCTAAACTCAATTGCCCTTTCATTCTTCTATCTAGACTCAAGGCTTCAAAGCTAAAGTCTAAATTTAAGAAACCAATAAAAATTTTTATAATTATAATGTTCTGAAGTTTAGTCAGGTGTTGTCCCGAAAAACTTATACCTGGAAAACAATAACAGGAAAGATACATTAACTTCAGATGTGTTGTATTGAAGGAACTCCTTTTATTTTAATGTAGTAATTTACTGGCTTTTCCTGACATTATATTTTTTAAAAATTAATTCTCATTCAAAATTTTTCAAATACATTATTTTTTTCACCCATTTTTTAACTTTATGTAAAACTGTAGACGGGAATTTAAAATAATAGATATTCGTAAAACTATGATTTGTTATAAACTTACTGTAACAATATTTTTAAAAAAAATATGTCCAAAAATCTAAACCATTCTTGCAATTAATATGTAAAAATACTCTACATTTCCATGATAAATATATTCTCATATGACATTAATTGTTTTAAGTAAGAGTATCATTTTTTTAAAAACATTTTCCTTCATATTTATTCTTTAATTCTTCTATTAAATAATACATGGTCATACCTAGCATAAATCTATACTCACTTTATAAAACATAATATGAATAGCCTGTTATTTTATAATTAAAGACATGCGGCTGATAAACTGCAATTATAAATATATCAAACAGTAACGCATTTTTTTTAAAAATTGATTTTGCAGTGCGTAAAAAGCAATCACATGGAATTCACAGGAATTTTTAATTTTGATTTATTATTTCAACAAATGTTTCAAAATTTAATTCAACATGCAAGTTTTTATTACAAAAGGCAATGTATGTAATTTGATATGCTCCACATATCTGAATACTGAAAGTTTTTCAATTGACCTGTTGTTATTTTCTCCATGATGATTTTTACTACAGATCTCCAAAGCCAATGAAACGCAATGATTGGAAATTCAAAATACAAAATAAGTAAGTCCTTTGATTGAAACTGATACATCATCAATGAAAAAGAAGTTACAGTTTAATAAATACAAATACAAAACTATAAAAGAAATTATTTGGGGAAAAAGATGTATGAATACTGAATTTCATTGGCTATGTTTAAAAATACACATTTTGTCTATAATTTGACAAAAAAGTCTAGCTTTAAATTTAATGGCAATTTAATGGCAATGATTGAGTGACAGAAGGATATTACATTAGATTTTCAAAAATAATACAATAGTAACAAAGTGTAACCGTTTATTTTCAACACCCTGTCATTCGTCTTAAATCTTAATTTTATGCACATACAAGTCATGCACTTGGTAAGATATATTATGTCAAACATTATGTGGACTTTCTGACATCCCATCTAACTACAACGTGATTCCGTCTGGCAGTGGCGTAGCGAGGGTGTTTGGCGCCCGGTGACAAGATTCATTTTAAAGCGCCCCCCTTTTCTTTTTTTCAACTCTCAAACCCATTATTTTTACCAATAATATAATATTAAATCACATTTTGGCACCCCTAACTAGCTTGCGCCAGGGGACATCTGTCCCCCCTCCCCCCCCCCCCCCCCCCCCCCCCCTCTCCCCCCCCCATCGCTACGCCTCTGCTGTCTGGCTCAAAATGAAAAGTGACTATGATCTGTTTACAAAGCTAAGTAAGCTCAACTACGCTCTGCAACGTTCAACACACGTAAAAATAAACTCACCAACAGGAAAAAACTCTTTCCCCCAATTTATTCCCAAAGTGCGCTGCAAGTTGTCCGCTCTTAGTAAGACGCACATTGCACTGGCTGGGGGCCATGTAAGGTGAATAGAGGAAGACGTCGGCTAGGCTTTAAGGACGTATGCAGACGAAACGTGAGGTAAGCCAGTGTATGGGTGACTCAAACAGCGGAAGGTGACGGAGTCAAACAGCAGTGTGTGAAGGAGTCCAATAGAAGTGTGTGACGGAGTCATTTAGCTGAGAATGATGGAGTCAAAAAAGCAGTGTGTGACAGAGTCAAACAGCAGAATTTGACGGATTCAAACAGCTGTGTGTGACGGAGTAAAACAGCAGTGTGTGACAGAGTCAAACAGCAGAAGGTGACGGATTCAAACAGCTGTGTGTGACGGAGTAAAACAGCAGTGTGTGACAGAGTCAAACAGCAGAAAGTGACGGAGTCAAACAGCAGTGTGTGAAGGAGTCAAACAGCAGTGTGTGACGGAGTCAAACAGCAGAAGGTGACGGAGTCAAACAGCTGTAAATGACGGAGTCAAACAGACAGAAGATGTGCGCAACGCAGTGATTGCAACAACAACACTAAGCAAAAGGCTTTACAGAAGGCCTAAGTAAACCAGAAAACAGAGTTGTCACGTGAGAAATGCAGACGTGGCTGTCATCGCAGGGTCGGCCTCATAAGCCTTGCGAGAATGTGTCACACTCTACTCAATCGGCTCACTCTATATAAAAAATGTTAATTATTTGATTAAAATAATTGTTTTTGACATAGCCCAATAATGCCAAGTAGCAATGGCCACCTTTGGTGTTTGCCCGTTCGTTCGTTATGCCACAGTACAGGGCTGTATGTTCCAGTGGGGAGAATTCTTGTAAAGATCATGAGGTTTTCTTATTTCTAAACGATGACATAGGGTAACAATAGTAAAGTGATTCTTTGGGCGCAACAAAAAAAAAGGGGGGGGGGGTAGAACCCATAATAAGGTAGCACAACAAGGCCTAATCCAGTGCCTGGTTATGTCATTGGGTTGTGCATACACATACCTAAGCCTTTCATGGTATGTTATCATAGTTTTACAAGAAATTACAAAATATACATGTCGTATATATTAATATACATATATTTGAAGCATTGCTGTCCATTATATTTATATAGAATCGTGGTCCACTACATTCATACAGCATCACTGCCCATGGTATTCAAATAAATTTGATGTCCATTGCATCCATATAGCATGTTTGTACATTACATTCATAGAGCGTTGCTGTCCATTACATTCATATATGTTATTCATTACGTGCAAATAACATGGCAGTCCATTACATTCCTACACATTAGTATACCTTACATTAATATTAAATTACTCAAATTATTATCATTTGTCACTGCAGAATTTAAATCTTTATAAAAATGCACACAATTGCACCCTAATAACAGTGTTCCCATTGCATCCACATAACAGTAATCCCATTACATCCACATAACAGTGATCCCATTACATCCACATAACAGTGATGTCATTACATCCACACAACAGTGATTTCATTACATCCGCATAACAGTGATGCCATTACATTCATAAAGCATGGCTCATTTTTTACAATCATGTAACATTTTCTCTATACATTCATAAAAGAGCAATGTCCCTAGCATTCTTTCACTATCCCTCTCACTACGTTCGGTCAAACTTTCTCTCATGACGTAATGTCACGTGATCAAGTGAGGAGCCATTCCAACACGGTCGTCTGTTTTTTTTTGTTTGTTTTTTTGAGGACATCATTGTTCTGGGACAAGCACGATCCGTCCATTTTCTTTGATGATGTTGGAGTAAGCGGTGGGGGTGTGTGGGGACTTGGTCTCAGGTTTAGGGGCTTTAGCGGGTTTCGGTGCAATCTCAACCTCAATGTAGTTGAGCTGTTTGACTGGCTGGGCCTCTTTGGATTTCTTGGAAAAAAATAATAAATTACAGGCTTAAGGTTTAGTGGTGTACTTACCAGTGTATAATTAGCAAAATGAAACGAAATTAAAACTAACAACTTGAAAGTACTTATTTAAATACAAATTTGTACTTTGTAGCGATATGAAGTTAAAGGGACATCAATCGATCATGTGTGATCTCCCTTGAAGACAATCGCAGCCGATACCTTGCTGTGTGACGTCGTTCACTTAGAGATACACATCTCAACCGACCATTGAACGGCAACGGGGTTGGTGATATTAAACGAACGATATTTATTCAAAATTGTCGTACCGTGTTTTCAAAAGCCAGCATGAATCATGACAACCGTCAGTATAAATTTAATTACTTTCCTCCCATGTTGTACACGCTATCGGTACGCTATCGGTACTCCGGAGCCTTGGTCTTTCCTAATAGAGACCAGATCTGTGTAAAGAGACTAAAGTGGCTGTGACTTTTGCTAGACATTTTTTTCATCATCCTTCTCAAGTCGCAAAGAAATAATACCGCTAAATCAAGAGCTATTATAGTGGTATCAGTTTAGTTAAAGTCTTAAATTAGATTAGATCCATGTGGGAATAGTATTATATTAATATAGTCCTAGATTAGAATATTCCCCACATTAGATTAGTATCGTATTGGAGTACGATCCTACTAATAAATTCTAGATTACCAAATTGACTAGATATTCCTAAAGCAACATTTTATACAAGAAGGTACGGTATGCAATGTAGAAAATAAAATTTAAAAAAGAAGACTCGAAATCTTATATGTATCCCTTCTCTCTATTTCTTTAAAAATATTTTTTTTTCTCTCTGTCTCTTCCCATCTATAGCTTTCTTTATATTTCAGGCTTCGCTTTGTGATCTCTCTTATTTTATATATACTAGACCAAAATCCCCCACACACTACTAATTCATGATAAAAAAATCCACCTTAATATCAATGATTCATGATCCAAATCCCCCACACACCACTGATTAATGAACAAAATCTATACACACCACTGATTAATGAACAAAATCTATACACACCACTGATTCCTGATCAAAATCACACACACCACTGATTCCTGATCAAAATACCCCCACATCACCGATTCATGACCAAAATCACCCCCCCCCACACACACAACTGATTCATGACAAAAATCCTCCCACACCACTGATTCATGACCAAAATTTTCCCACACCACTAACTCTTGAACTAAATCCCCCACACACCATTGATTCATGACCAAAATCCCCCACACACCATTGATGCATGACCCAAAGCCCCCCACACACCATTGATTCATGACCAAATCCCCCAATACCACTGATTCATGACCAAAATTGCCCCACAGACAATTAATTCATGACCAAAATCCCCCACACACCATTGATTCATGACTCAAATCCCCCACACACCATTGATTCATGACCCAAATCCCCGGACACAACTGATTAATGACCCAAATTCCCCCACACACCATTGATTCATGACCAAAATCACCCCACACCCCTGATTGATGACCCAAATCCCCACACACACCACTGATTCATGAACAAAATCTCCCACACACCACTGATTCATGACTGAAATCCACCCACAATTGATTCATGATCCTAATCCCCCGTACACAATTGATTCATGACCCAAATCCCCCACACACCACTAATTCATGACCAAATTCCCCCACACACCATTAATTCATGACCAAAATACCCCACACACCACTGATTACTTACCCAAATTCCCCACACACCACTGATTCATGACCCGAAATTCCCCCACACAACATTAATTCATGACCAAAATACCCCACACACCACTGATTACTTACCCAAATCCCCCATACACCATTGATTCATAACCAAAATCCCCCACACACCACTAATTACTTACCCAAATCCCCCACACACCACTGATTCATGACCCAAAATTCCTCCACACACCATTGATTCACGAAAAAAATCACCCCACACCACTGATTCATGACCCAAAATTCCCCCACACACCATTGATTCATGACCCAAATCCCCACACCACTAATTCATGACCCTAATACCCCCCGTACACAATTGATTCGTGACCCAAATCACCCACACACAACTGATTCATGACCCAAATCCCCCACACCACTGATTCATGACCAAAATCCTCCCACGCCAATAATTCATGACCAAAATCCCCCACACACCATTGATTCATGACCCAACTCCCCCACACAGTTGACTCATGACCCAAATCCCCCCACACAATTGATGCATGACCCAAAGCCCACCACACACAAGTGATTCATGACCAAATCCCCCACACAATTCATTCATGACTCAAATTCTCCACACCACTGATTCATAACCAAAATCCCCCCACACAACATTGATTCATGACCAAAATCTCCCCACACCACTGATTCATGAACAAAATCCCCCCGCACACCATTGATTCATGACTAAAGTCCCCCGCACACCATTGATTGATGACCCAAATCCCCCCACATACCACTGATGATTAATGACCGAAATCCCCCCAAACCATTGATTCATGACCGACATCCCCCGCTCACCACTGATTTATGACCAAAACTACCCCAACACCACTGATTCATGAATCAAATCCCACCCCCCACACATCATTGATTCATGACCAAAATCGCCCCACACACCATTGATTTTTTGACCGAAATTCCCCCGCACAACATTGATTCCTGACCAAAATCCCCCCCCCACACCCCTGATACATGACCCAAATCCCCCCAAACACCACTGATTCATCACCGAAATCCCCCCTCCCCCGCAAACCAATGATTCATGACCAAAATCTCCCGCACACCACTGATTCATGACCAAAATCCCCCCACACCACTGATTCATGACCAAAATCTCCCGCACATGACTGATTCATGACCAAATCCCCCACTCACAAATTATTGATGCCCCAAATCCCCCACACACCAATGATTCATGACCAAAATCCCACGCACACCAATGATACATTACCAAAATGTGTTAAACTTTTTTGGAATCTTATGGAAAATCTGTGACACTAACCATGTTTTGTTCAATAGAATTAAGTGAGGCTATTCAATTTATTACATGCGCTTGGCGTATTAACTTAATTAAAATCCTCTTACAAATCTAAGTTTTAAAACGTGTTTATATTTTGTTGTCATATTGTTATGTAGCACACTCTTCCCGTGCGTGAACTTTCTTTGACCCCGCATTAGACTACTACCAGACGGTAATGTTTGTTGTGGGCTTGGTTGAATCTCTTTGATATATCTTGTTTACAACCGTGTTTACCAATACAACATGGTTAGACTGTCTCCTAGCATCTTGTCGAATGTTCTCGATAACCCGAGAAATGTAAACAACATGCCATAAGTATTTTTCTGAAAGCGTCCTATGCTACATGTATATAAGGAAGTGGCAGATACGGAAAGACGGAGATTCAGATAGAAATTATTAACTTTACGCGACGTGTAGTATTCTTTGTGTTCTTATATATGTGTTTATTCGCATTCTTCATTCATCATTATTCATTGGCACATTGTACTAACTGTGTTAACTGTGTACCGGTGCAAGGTCTACCAAACTGTAAGTTGATGATTTGTTATTATATTTTTTTTATTTTTTTTTTTGCAACTATATTAAGCCTTAAATAAATCTTATTAATTATAATTAGCAACTGTTTTGGGTGTCGTATCTTTACTATTGATGACTCTATGGTATCGTCCTTTGTTAGACACTGTTTACAACGAGACAATAAAATTAAAATAGGAGATTAATTTCTCATATTGGAAGCCAGTGCGTAACACATATGCTCCACACATCTTTGCAATAAAACAGAGCAAATATTTACTCACTAAAGTATTCATTTTCTATTTCTCATTCGCTCTTGTTTTCTTAGAATGCAGTAAAGTCTAGATCTCGGAATACCAGATACAGAAGATTAAATGAGAACTTTGAATACAGAGAACACGAAAGCGGTCTACTGAGCAGCTTCCCACGGAACACGCGCAGTTTTGTAGCAGAAGGATTTATCATTTTCACCCCTTCAATAAAGGTCCCAAGTTACTATGCGGAGATCGTCTTTAATAAGGATGCTACCCAAATTTATTGAGTTTAAAAATAATTTGGGAATGTAAAAAAGAAATGAATGTTTGGATCTGAATTATGATATAATTAACAGATTTTACAGACTTCTAATATGGTAGAACGCCAGGCGGATGAAATAAATGAAATACCATCACTTAATTCTATTGAACAAAGTATTGCTCGTGTTGCACATTTTTCCATAAGTTTCCAAAAAAGCTTAAATTAATCTGAAAACTAAATCATAAAGTGAAAGAATAAAACAAATACCTCGGATTTCTTTGATTCGTTTCCCTTGTCTTTTTTCTTTGTTTTGATTGGCAGGGCGTAAACGCAGCCATCTTCGGTCGTCAGCGCGCTTTCCGGTACTTTTGCTTTCTTCAGCACCGCCACGTTGGTGTACTCCACGTCTTCTGCATCGGTCGCAGCTTCCTCGGCGACACCATCTTGGGGCGCCTCCTTGACTTCTTTGCTCTTTTCATCTTTCTTTTTCTCCTTCTTCTTTTTTCCTTCTTTTTTTCCTTTTTTATCCTTCCCTTTGGAATGTACTTTCACAGCGTCTTTCTCATTGGCGTGTTCATTGCCAGACCCCTGTTCCTCTGTGTCGTCTGGACCCACGACAACTTCGTCGTACGGGTGAATCCGTGCCTTCGTCGATGTGTTCGAGATGCTGATGTTGTCTTTTGATCCTCTGCTGTCCGATGGGTTGTCGACATTCCCATTATTTTGTTTTTTCTTCTCCTCCGCTACGTTTTCTCGGTTTTGAATGAAAATATCCTCGTCGATTTCATCATACTGATGACCCCGAGGTGGGGCAGAGTCTATTCAAAAGTAAAGAAAATGTGATATATACTGACAGAGGTAAGCAATTGGTGTTATACACGAGTTCAATTTTTTTTTAATGTATACTTTTTAAAAAATATATAAAATTATTACCATTTTTATCCACATAATCTCCATTACTTAAAAACATAACAGCAATTTTCTTCAACTTCACACACAAACACACTAACAAACACACAAACACACTAACAAACACACAAACGCACGCACACTCAAGCGTTTTTCCTTCCATCTGTTTTTTTTTTATTTTAAATCTTTCTTAAATCATTTCTTTCTATAATCATTTCTTTCTATAACCGTTCCATTTACTTCTTTAACATAAACCATTCTCCTTTTCTTTTAAAGGTTACTCTTGTATAATAATAATGATACAAATCACTTAACTTAGGTGCCATGCACACCATGGCGTGTAGGTATCACCATGGCGTGTAGGTATCTTAAGGGGCAGCCTTATTATTACAAACTTTTGATAGTGAATTTACACTAATTCTCTTTCTCTCTCACACTCTCTGTCTCTCTCTCTCTCTCTCTCCCTCTCTCTCTCTCTCTCTCTCTCTCTCTCTCTCTCCTTCTCTCTTTTTTCTCTTTTGTCTCTCTTTTCTCTCTCTCTCTCCCGTGCCTCCATCCATCCATTCTTTTCTTTCTCTCTATCTCTCTCTTTCTCTCATATATATTCTCTCAATTTACACTCATTCTCTCTCTCTCTCACACTCTCTGTCTCTCTCTCTCTCTCTCTCCCTCTCTCTCTCTCTCTCTCTCTCTCTCTCTCTCTCCTTCTCTCTTTTTTCTCTTTTGTCTCTCTTTTCTCTCTTTCTCTCCCGTGCATCCATCCATCCATTCATTTGTTCCTCTCTATCTCTCTCTTTCTCTCAAATATATTCTCTCACATGTGTATATAAGACACATTGCTCTGTATCTGTTAAGTATATATTACATAATCAAATATTTATTACACCTGTGTAAAATGCAAAGCCCTACTTTTTGGTACAAAATTTTTACCCAAAATTGCTGGCATTGTACGCACGCGGAAATATACTGTATATATATTTTTTGTTTAAAGTCAAACATATTATGTAGTGGAGCGCATTACTGCTCTGCTCAAAGTTATGTTTAATTTAAAAAAAATAAGTGTTTTATTTAACTGTAATGTATTAAAGAAGATAACCACATATTAATGTAAACATGTAGTTATCAAAAACATAGCATTGCTATACTTTATCACAAATTTATTAATATATGATAACCAAAATATCCCTTTTCATTATAAATTTTAAAAACACACACACACAAAAATTAGACCTACTTTTAGATATATCTGCAAGTCAGACTCACCTGTTTTTTTATCTTCATTTTCTTTATTGGGACGAGAATTTTTGGCTCCCATTGTTTTGTTTGTTTTTTTTGTTTTGTTGTTTTTTGTTTTTAAGACAGAATTGTACTATTTTGAATACTGATCCCCAGATTCGCTGGATAAGTATGTCTCATGTCATCTGTCATAATGGTATTGTTGAAACCGTCGACAAATAAGCAGACTGATCACGAGACATTTTGTTTGTTTCAGTAGCCAACTGCTTGGAGGGTACTTTCCTATAAATAGCACGCTCGTTTTCGTTGGTTTTTTAGTTGAGTGGAGAGGCCAAACGTGGCAATGTTTATATCAGCATAAAACGTTTCTGCCGGTAGTGAAACTGAGATTAAGGATTCGACAAATGAAACGGCTACGTTTGGAAATGACAGGACATTTTAATAGGACATATTAACAGGTCATATTTTAAAACACACTTTAATAGGACATTTTAATGGGACATATTAATATGAAATTTTAATAGGACATTTAAAAATGACATTGTGATATGACATTTTAATACGAGATAGTGCTACAATCACGAACGTACAATTATTTAAGCATTCTAATTTTTTTTTAACGAAAACATTCATATATATATTTCCTTGAGGCAGCTGGAAGAAGCAATACATCTAAATGCCCAAATCCAAAGAACACTACTGTAGATCAATCAATTTTACTTGGAGCACCAGAAAGATGCGGGAGATCTTAGTTTTACGAAGACAACGTTTAGATCAATTTTTATTTAGATCTTCTCATTAATACTATGCATCCCTGCTTATAAGACAGAATCGACGCTTAGATCAATCAATACTTTCAGCTCATGAAAAGAAAATCTAAATATGCACCCAGAGCAATGCGTCATTGCATAAATACTTCATGGTTTACAAAATGAAATTTTAAACATTTTTTTTAAAATATGTAATTTTACTGTTAAGGTGTGAAACAAAACATTCATTGCTTTATATTAACTTCGCTTTTGTGTATATAGGGAAAAAAATATTCGAACGTCTAATTGACCCACTTCCCGTCAACCTATCGAGCTGATACGTGGCATATCCTTGTTGTCAATGACAACATATTCTATCAAATGTTCAGCCCCAAATCCCAAAAATTAGTTTTTCAAGGGGATGATTAAGCAAATCTGATGCCACGGATTCCATGAAATAAAATTCTCGATAACTACGCTAAATGATATTTTAAAAATATATAAATATCGCAAGCGCGTTTGGTGCGTAACATTTATCTTTCATTTTTCTGAAATAGTTGGTCAAATAAATCTGCGGTGTAAAATCTGGTGGGACAAGATTAACATTAATATCAAATATAATAATTAAAAAATGCTCATAAGCGATGTATTCGACAAACTTAGTTTTTTTTTTGTTTTTTTTTTTTTAAGGTTGTTTAATTAAAGCTATTTTCTTGACTCATTTAAAACGTCCAATTCAATCAACCGATGCGTTTCATTGTGTTCCATTACAGATGGGGACGCTCGATTATCGTCTATCTTCTCAAACACGTTGTAAATGATACACACACAAAATAGGGGCCCTATTGAATGAATTTGCACTTGTAGTCGCTTGGCCCCCACCAAGGATGCAATGCTAGGGATTTCCTGTTCGCCCCCATGTGGGTTTACATTGTTGCCTGGGACACGCTCAACCCTGACCTTGTGCGTATTCCTTCAAACAAACAAAATTATGGAAATTCTGTTTCAGATATTAAATAACGACATCTATAACTGGCTCTGGCGGGTTATAAAAATGTGTATGAAGCAGATGTCGAGGTTGCTGTGATTGAAAGGCATTTCCGGCTTGTCTTAGAACTCGTTTACTCGTTTCTAGGAATCGTTGGGTTTTTTTTTAAGTGTTGGGGGAATCCTAAACTCCATCTTTAGAGTACGGCCCTATACATTTAGCACGCCTTGCATCGGTTGCCTACATAGGGTTAGTGCCGACCCCCCCCCTCCCGGGTGGTTCAATGTCAGTGTCCTACAGATGGTTAGTTAGGATGGTTCAATGTCAGTGGCCTACCTAGGGTTAGTTAGGGTTGGTAAATATCAGTGGCCTACCTAGGGTAAGTTGGTGGGACTCAATATCAATGGCACAACTAGGGTAGGTTAGGATGGTTCAATATGAGTGGCCTACCTAAGGTTATTTAGGGTGATTCAATATCAGTGACCTACCTAGGGTAAGTTAGTGGGGCTCAATATCAGTGGCACAACTAGGGTAGGTTAGGGTGGTTCAATATCAGTGGCCTACCTAAGGTTATTTAGGGTGATTCAATATCAGTGGCCTACCTAGGGTAAGTTAGTGGGACTTAATATCAGTGGCACAACTAGGATAGGTTATGGTGGTTCAATATCAGTGGCCTACCTAAGGTTATTTAGGGTGATTCAATATCAGTGGCACAACTAGGGTAGGTTAGGGTGGTTCAATATCAGTGGCCTACCTAAGGTTATTTAGGGTGATTAAATATCAGTGCTACCTAAGGTTATTTAGGGTGATTCAATATCAGTGGCACAACTAGGGTAGGTTAGGGTGGTTCAATATCAGTGGCCTACCTAAGGTTATTTAGGGTGATTCAATATCAGTAGCACAACTAGGGTAGGTTAGGGTGGTTCAATATCAGTGGCCTACCTAAGGTTATTTAGGGTGATTCAATATCAGTGGCACAACTATGGTAGGTTAGGGTGGTTCAATATCAGTGGCCTACCTAAGGTTATTTAGGGTGATTCAATATCAGTTGTCTACCTAGGGTAAGTTAGTGGGACTCAATATCAGTGGCACAACTAGGATAGGTTAGGGTGGTTCAATATCAGTGGCCTACCTAAGGTTATTTAGGGTGATTCAATATCAGTGGCACAACTAGGGTAGGTTAGGGTGGTTCAATATCAGTGGCCTACCTAAGGTTATTTAGGGTGATTCAATATCAGTGGCACAACTAGGGTTGGTTAGGGTGGTTCAATATCAGTGGCCTACCTAAGGTTATTTAGGGTGGTTCAATATCAGTTGCCTACCTAAGGTTATTTAGGGTGATTCAAAATCAGTGGCACAACTAGTGTAGGTTAGGGTGGTTCAATATCAGTGGCCTACCTAATGTTATTTAGGGTGATTCAATAGCAGTGGCCTACCTAGGGTAAGTTAGTGGGGCTCAATATCAGTGGCACAACTAGGGTAGGTTAGGGTGGTTCAATATCAGTGGCCTACCTAAGGTTATTTAGGGTGATTCAATATCAGTTGTCTACCTCGGGTAAGTTAGTGGGGCTCAACAGATCTGACCAGGACCAGGTACAACAGGATTTCAATCTGTTAGCTGAGTGGGAGATGACCTGGGACATGGAATTTCACCCTGCTAAGTGCCAGCCACTATCAGTCTCTAGAAGTTGTACTCGTCTACACTACCAATACGGACTGCACGGCCATATACTTGAGCCAGTTTCCTCCGTAAAGTATCTGGGTGTTACCATTCAAAGAGAGGTCCGCTGGGACGAGCATATTAACAATGTATGTAACCAAGCAAACAAGACCCTGGGGTTCTTAAGGCGAAATCTAAAGGTTGGCAATTCCTGTGTAAAAGAAAGAGCATATAAAGCCTTTGTCCGTCCGGTTCTAGATTATGCATCTGGGACCCATTTACCCAGAAGAGCATTGACAGGTTGGAGGCGGTCCAGCGACGGGCGGCTCGCTTTGTCCTAAACCGCTACAGTAATACCTCTAGTGTTGGCAGCATGCTGGAAACACTAGGCTGGTCACCATTGCAGGAACGACGTCAACAATCCAGGGTCTCCATGATGTACAAAATAAATAATGGGCTGGTCCAATGTTCCAGTATTAAACAGAAACTCGTCCCTCTCCCCCATAGACAGCGACGAGGCCATGACATGCAATTCCGGCTCATACCAGTAAGAAGCCAGTTAGGAACTGCTCATTCCTGCCCAAGACAATCAGGGACTGGAACAAGCTTTCAAAAGGAACATTTGAGGCGACAACACTAGACTCATTTGTGTCTATTGCCTCAAGCCTTCAAACCCCTAGTGCATGATTCCCTCACAAAGTGGCACTGGAAATCAATGAAATGTCCTCATCAACACCAGCCACAGAAACATAGCAAATGCCCTCTACATGCATAGGAGCCACAATGATCAATAAATTGATATTGGGCCCTTAAGATATAGAAGAAGAAAGGCAAGAAAGCCCTCTCCACCCACCCCTCTTACGCCAGTGCATTACGTAGATTGAGATTGTAGCGCCCTGGGGCGCTCATTCGCTTTACTGCCCTTAAGTCACGAAAATAACTAGTGCTGGAATAAGATCTGTGGAGGCCTCTGGGGAGTATAAACTGTGCCTCTCTCGGTGGCATAGTGATAGGGTGGCGTCTAGAGAGACAAAATTGTGCCTTACCCAGTGACATACCTATTGGGGGTGCGTCTAGGAAGTAAAAGTGTGCCGCCCTCCCAGTGACTTACCTATGGGGGTGCCTCTAGGGAGTCAAAACTGTGCCTCCCATAGTGCTTCAGCTATTTGGGTGCCTCTAGGGAGTCAAAACTGTGCCTCCCACAGTGCTATAGCTATTGGGGGTGCCTCTAGGGAGTCAAAACTGTGCCTCCCACAGTGCCATAGCTATTGGGGTGCCTCTAGGGTGTCAAAACTGCTGTGCCTCCCATAGTGCCATAGCTATTGGGGTGCCTCTAGGGAGTCAAAACTGTGCCTCCCACATTGCTATAGCTATTGGGGGTGCCTCTAGGGAGTCAAAAATGTGCCCCCCACAGTGCCATAGCTATTGGGGTGCCTCTAGGGTGTCGAAACTGCTGTGCCTCCCATAGTGCCATAGCTATTGGGGTGCCTCTAGGGAGTCAAAACTGTGCCTCCCACATTGCTATAGCTATTGGGGGTGCCTCTAGGGAGTCAAAAATGTGCCTCCCACAGTGCCATAGCTATTGGGGTGCCTCTAGGGTGTCAAAACTGCTGTGCCTCCCATAGTGCCATAGCTATTGGGGTGCCTCTAGGGAGTCAAAACTGTGCCTCCCACAGTGCCATAGCTATTGGGGTGCCTCTAGGGAGTCAAAACTGTGCCTCCCATAGTGCCATAGCTATTGGGGTGCCTCTGGGAGTCAAAACTGTGCCTCCCACAGTGCCATAGCTATTGGGGTGCCTCTGGGAGTCAAAACTGTGCCTCCCACCGTGCCATAGCTATGGGGGTGCCTCTGGGAGTCAAAACTGTGCCTCCCACAGTGCCATAGCTATGGGGTGCCTCTGGCAGTCAAAACTGTGCCTCCCACAGTGCCATAGCTATTGGGGTGCCTCTAGGGAGTCAAAACTGTGCCTCCCACAGTGCCATAGCTATTTGGGTGCCTCTAGGGAGTCAAAACTGTGCCTCCCACAGTGTCATAGCCATTGGTGTGCCTCTGGGAGTCAAAACTGTGTCTCCCGCAGGGGCATAGCTATTGAAGAGCTAGGGGTGACCAACACTTGGAAAATTTTAGGTTTAATATATTTACTTTATGCATGACAGTATTAAAATTGAGGTGTGTGCTAGCAAAACTATTTTTCCACATCACCAAAATTACCATGACTGCATAATTTCCGAAAGATGGCGAAATAAAATGTAAATTGCTTTACTTTTTCCCCAGACACTAATCACTTGAACTATATTAACATTGATGTTTAAGGAATATGAACGATCGATGTACTTTTAATACAAATAGCAAGCGCGTCACCTGAGCAGGGTGTCACCTGAGGAGGTTGTCACTAGAGCTGAGTGTCACCTGTGCAGGGTGTCACCTGAAGAGGGTGTCACCTGAGCAGGGTGATACCTGAGCAGGATGATACCTGAGCAGGATGTCACCTGAGGAGGGTGTCACCTGAGCAGGGTGTCACCTGAGGAGGGTGTCACCTCAGCAGAGTGTCACCTGAGCAGGGTGTCACCTGAGCAGGGTGTCACCTGAGCAGGGTGCACCTGAGGAGGGTGTCACCTCAGCAGAATGTCACCTGAGCAGGGTGTCACCTGAGCAGGGTGTCGCCTGAGCAGGGTGTCATAAAGAAGAGAAGCAGATTCAGAGAATGTCCGTGGGGAAGTCTGGAGAGGTTGACACCATCAGTATCAGTGTCTGGGTGACATCAACCCAAATGAAGCCACTGGCCATGTAAATGTGTCCTAACATTATGTTTACGACCCCAACCCTGATAGTGCATTTGTCCTAACATTATATTTACGCCCCCCTGACAGTGTATGTGTCCTAACATTATGTTTATGACGCCACTGACCGTGTATATGTGTCATAAAAATATGTTTATTCCAATTTTTGTGCAATATCCCAAATTTGTTTCTCTTCGTAAGTCTTAATTTCTACTTCACATTTCTTTAGAGACGCTCTCAACGTTCTTCCCAAAATAAATTTAGATCCCCTGTCGAGAGTCTACGAAAAAGCGCTGTGCTATTGCACGCTCATAGTTGTCATTTAGATTAAACCGGATATTGTAACAGACAATCAACTCTTAGACGAAACACATAAAAAGTATACAATATATAGCAGTGTTTCTCAAATGGTGGTCCACGGAGCAGCGTCGCGCTTAGAGCCTTACTTTGCCGGTCCGGACAACATGAATAGGTATGGTCGAATAAAAAGAAAAGGTAATCAATAAATCTGGCAGCGGTCCCTGGTGGACAAAACGTGTACACCAATCAGCCCAATTTAAAAGTTTTAGAAACGCTGATGTACAGTATGAAGTGGCCCGAAAATACCGACCCCCAAAGTAAGTGCCATCCAGGGTGGATGATCGCTTCTTTTAAGCTACTGCAATATTAATAGCCTGTGGGTAGAGTGGAAGCTCATTTCAACAACTGAATCGGGGATGTTGACATTTTCCGGAACATGGTTTCAGTGTATAGGATTGAGAAACACACAAGTACTCTTAACACGGTCAGATGTTTTAAAATACATAATACACAAATACGAGCATCCAGAGAGGGGAAGGGACATAGAGAAAGCGGGGGAGAAAGGCGGAGAGGGTGATGGAGATAGGAAGGTAAAGAGAGAGAAAATTTGCTGGGAGGGAGTGAGTTGGGGAAAGAGAGCGGGAGAGAGTATGAGAGGAAGAGATGCTGGGAAGGAGCAAGATGAGGAGGGCGTGGTATGAGGACAGAAGCAGAGAAAAAAAGAGAGGGGGAGATATAGGGAGGGAGTGAGATAAGAGGAAGAGAGAGGGAGGGAGAGAAAGAGAGAGAGTCAGAAAGAGAGTGACACGAAAAAAATGAGCGAGGCAGTGATGTAGTTTGGGAGTGAGATGAGAACATTGGGAGAGAGAGAAAGAGAGAGGGGGAGAGAAAGAGAGATATAAATGGAGAGTTGTAGTTAGGGAGCTATATAAGGAGACATAGAAAGTGATAGAGGGAGATTTTTTTTAAATCCTTTAGCACATTTAGTTTGGGCAGTATCACTTAACAGAGAAGAGTAAACTTTGTTTGAGACAAAGAATAAAAAAACTCTTTCTATCTACGCACATCAGTGACCTTCACCTTGACGTTGTTCCCTTTTGTTCCTGTAACTCTACTCCTTCATAACACTACCCCCCCCCTCCCCCACACAAACTATTTGCTTCAATATTAGAAATCCATCTTTTCGTATCTATTACACAAAGTAAATGTAAAAATAAAAAGACGCATTTCTCATGGAGAATCTCTTGTTTCAAGCACTTGAAAAACAATTTGTTTTTACCGTTTATAGCCTTACATCCTATCCGTATTATTTCAGTAATGCGATCTGACTTCCGTTGCTGAGAGCGTTTCCGTTCCCAGTGTGCATTCCCTCATATAAACCAAGTGTGCATTCCCTGGTGTAAACCAAGTGTGCATTCCTTGGTGTAAACCAAGTGTGCATTCCTTGGTGTAAACCAAGTGTGCATTCCCCCGGTTTAATCCAAGTGTGCATTCCTTGGTGTAAACCAAGTGTGCATTCCTTAGTGTAAACCAAGTGTGCATTCATTGGTGAAAACCAAGTGTACATTCATTGGCGTAAACAAAGAAGAATGCATAAAAATGTCTGTTTTAGATTTTTTTTCTACCAGAGACACATTTTTCCTTGGTTAGCCAAATGCTGAATCCAAGGAAGAGCTCAACAGTTTGCGTTTTGATTCTCGTTACAGAGAAGAAAATTATGCTTACAATCTCTAATTGTCATTGACATTACTTGTTTTTTTAAAAAGAAGTAAAACTTTCTTCCCAGTTTTTGAGCCAGTTTCCTTATGAAAATCATTGCAAGATACATTTGACTTTCGTATGTCCTTTAATTTGCTTTCGCAGAGGAAAGCGTTTAGCCGAAACGTTAATTTCACAATCCCGTGTTCTTGATCAGCTGCTATCTGTCCTGTTCTCAATATTTCATTCACACGAAACGAACGAAAGCTCCACTCTATTTCACCTTATACCAAATGGACGGATGTTTGTTAAGCGACGTTTAAGAACCCTTGCTGTGAGAGAAGCGAAGTGGTGGGGGATATCCACTAACGAAACACGGTATCAATAAATGAACTGCGTTTACTTGTAGGCGTTAGTACACAAATGTGGTCAATATACGTGGAACCTGATATACTTCCCGGTGCGGGGCATGTCAAAGAATCCCAACATTTTCGATTACGGTGAATGTTTAGCTCCACGGTTGTTGCAGACGTTGTGCCCCGCTGAGAAGTGCAATGAAAGAAATGACCAACCAAGTGGTGAGAGTGAAAGTGAATGTCAGAACATGTAAGACGTGGTGGCAGCTACGCGAGAATATCGCCATTGGTTGTTTCAATTTCACTGCATCGGTTTGGTATCTGTCGGAAGGGCGATCATGCACGGCTGCCGACAGGGGCGTTGGAATGGGGTTCGGAGGGGCGATAAGGCACGGCTGCCGACAGGGTCGTTGGAATGGGGTTCGGAGGGGCGATCATGCACGGCTGCCGACAGGGGCGTTGGAATGGGGTTCGGAGGGGCGATCATGCACGGCTGCCGACAGGGGCGTTGGAATGGGATTCGGAGGGGCGATCATGCACGGCTGCCGACAGGGGCGTTGTAATGGGGTTCGGAGGGGCGATCATGCACGGCTGCCGACAGGGGCGTTGGAATGGGATTCGGAGGGGCGATCATGCACGGCTGCCGACAGGGGCGTTGGAATGGGATTCGGAGGGGCGTTCAACCTCCGGATTGCACTTTTTTTTTTCTGTGTTACGTGATACGGAGCGGTGGCATTTTTGACAATAAGTATAATTTTTTTAATGGAAAGATAACGCAAGTTCCGCCCCGGGCGGCACTAACCCGATCTACGCCACTGGTTTCCGACCGTCCGAAAATATACGTACAGCCCGTAAAGTGTTGACATAAATTTACCTTTTGTAAAAGTCCGACAAAATTTGTGGTTGTCCGAAATAAAAAAAAGAAAGAAAAAAGAAAGATTTTCAAAGGGCCTTTAAACCAAAATAAAAACCTGTTCTTCTCAGCATGTATAGTGTTTTTGTTTGCTCTACAACTGTATGGCCATTAAACAGGAGCCATTTAATGCGAGCGTCATTTGAAATTATGGATGTACTTGGAGGCGATTTATTCATACGCCACAAAGATACTTATTGTTTGGTAGCTCAACGGTTGTAACAAATGTGTTCATAGCAAAACGTGCTGATCCCTAAATACTTAAAAGATTGATTATATGTCCGTACGTTTTATGTTGTTGAGGTGTCAATCCTGCCATCGTGTGATAGGTTGGATGATGTGGGCCGATAACTAATGGGTTTGAACCCAAGTTGTGGACAGGGCCAACATGCCTGGATAAATCTTTGGTAAAAAAACAACAATCCAACGCCCGTTATCTTGATTGGATTATGTGGATTGTAACTAAGGCACAGTGTTATCTTCTTGGCTAAATCCCCCAAACATATTCCTAATGTCAGATGTAATTCATTTAAGTCAAAGTGTTGCGATTCTTCTGCCAACGTGTCGCAGCACACCATTGTCACGCCAATGAGTCGAGACACACCATTGTCACGCCAATGAGTCGAGACACACCAATGTCACGCCAATGAGTCGCGACACACCAATGTCACACCAATGAGTCGCGACACACCAATGTCAAGCCAATGAGTCGCGACACACCAATGTCACGCCAATGAGTTGCGACACATCAATGTCACGCCAATAAGTTTCGACACACTAATATCACGCCAATGAGTCGCGACACACTAATATCACGCCGATGAGTCGCGACACACTAATATCACAACAACGAGTCGCGGCACACAAATATCATGCCAATGAGTCGCGGCACACTAATATCACGCCAATGGGTCGCGACACACTAATATCGCGCCAATGAGTCGCGACACACATATGTCACGCCTATTAGTCACGGCTCACCAATGTCACGCCACTGTGTCGCGGCACACCTGTTTTAAACCGAGTATGTACAGTGATGTGTGTTGACCTTAGCACTTGGACCCACGAGAACATCAAGTGCCTTATAAGTGTTACTAGTGCTTCATAACAACAAAATCATCCCATGACAACATTAGTGTATGAGACATTGCCTCGGTTTCCCGTCAAAGCGCCACACTTATCTAAATACTTATTATGCTTACGGTCTTATGTCCATCTAGTGACGCGTTCTTGGGCACGAAATTTAAAGCCGAGGTTGTTGCTGTCATTTTTTGTTGACAAAATATCATTGCATTTAAGCACGTCTTACGTGCGTGAGGAGGTGGGGGGGGAGGGAGGAGGAGAGTGTCGACAACTCAGAACGGGGCGTTTTTTTCGGCTAGCATTGTAGCGCCACTTCAAAGTTCTAAATTGCGATAATGATTGATGCATATTTTCTGAGACGTTAACAGCGTCTAACATGTTCATTTCCTTCAGAAGATGTGTTTTTTTTCTAATGAATTTTTTTAATATGTCTATAAAATTAATTACGAAAAACGTATCAAATCATTTGAAAGAGATCGCAGGCTGGCGCCGTGACTCCAACTTTGACAAATTAAAATTTGAGAGTGGTTACGGAGAGTAAAATGTAAATAAATGTATTTAAAATATTCTTAAGGGTTTTATTTTTCTCCCTTCTCGTCTTACAAGTCTTGCATTTTAAGAATTTAAATACTTCCTTTGTCAACAGGGTAAGTGCAAGGCCAAGCGCACTATAGGAGATCAGGCATATTCCTTCAGCAGGGGTCCCTCACAAGGGGTTCCAGCACCCCCGTGGCGTTGCGGGAGGCAGTGTCAGGGTGCGCGGGAAGACCCAGAATATCAGGTTTCTTTGCGTTTTTATTTATCGTTGTGGGGGGGGGGGTAAATGTTTTGATATCAAGCGAGGAGGCCCCCGCCGTGAAATGCTTAAGAACCCTTGGCCTACAGCGATAATAACAAGCTGTCGATTAATATTTATATATTGAATATGAAGGAAGTGTTTTAGCTCGATCGTGACTGGACTAATTGTCGTTGCACTATTTATTGCTTTATTAAGTAAAACGATTTCTTAATGCCGCCAATAGAGCAGAAGATCCAAGTTTTGCCATCTGTGAACAGATAACAATTGCGAAAAGCAACATTGCAGCTAATTTAAGTTTAATAAGGGGGACAGGGGAGGAAATCAATTAAGGTTAAGAGAAATGAGGCAATGGTGGAATTATAATAATATCATTAAGGATATATTTTTTTTTTTAAAAATTTGACACTGTTTTAGACCTTGTTAGACAGGAAATATTTGCTTGACAGAAATTTCAAAGAGCCGAAAATTTAGTTTTGGGCATCGTCAACAAATTGTGGAGTCAAAAGTCTTTTTTATAGCGCATTGCGGCAATAAATTTTATGATGTCATTCACTCCGCGATGTCTCAGATACAGATTTTATACAATCGAAGTAATCAAATGGATAACCCAAATGTCAACAACAAAAAACTGTTATCACATTTTAAACCGCATACCTCCTACGCTGATTTCAATAGTGAAGTCTCATAATAATACAACTGATATCACTTATACTACACTAAATGGTCTAAATAGTTTCACCCCTAGGACATTCTGTCCGTCTTAACCTGATAATATCAATCAACCATTGCACATGATAAGGTCACACAAGATAAGTAAACTATCCAAGCATGTACTGAACCTTCAAATCCACACACACAAAAAGAACAGGTGAATAGTCCTCACTGAAATCTACACAGCTTTAGTGTGTACAAATGACTGGACAAAAGCTTGAAAGGAAGACCTTAGAACACACTCGAAATCTACAAACGAGATTGGGTTATAATATGAAGGTCTAGATGTATACGGCAATAAGCTCACATGTGGTAGATCCTATAGATGTTTACTTCCTGGTACAAGCTGTCGCATAAAGTAACTGTGTCCGGCCCCGCTGTGTCGTTTGTGTGTGTGTGTGCCATGGTCTTTATGTCATTGCTTATGTATACTGCAGTGTGTCAGATCTGGGTCGGCTCGTTTGACTCTACGCTGTGGTGCTGGGTTGGAGAGTTCACTTTAAAGTAACTGGCCGAGGATGTGGGAGAGGGGAAGGGTAGTGTGAAGTTGTTTACAAAATGTGTTGATACGTGTAAGTACATTATTATGTTTTGCCAGCAACGCGTGTATCAACGTGCAATAGAAACACGTTAAGCCGAAGAGTCTCTTATATGCAGCACTACTGGAGGGTTTGAACAGAGTTACGGTACTTTTGCGTGGTACCTTTGTGTAGTCTGGAGTTGATTATCAGGCCTAAACTATGACATATCAATTTGCTTTTATTTGATGCTTGTGCTGCAAGATACAGGCACATATCAAATGAGAAACCATTTAAAAATAGCAATTGTTTTTTGTTTTTTTTAAAACAGCATTAAAAAAATGTAAAGAAATTTTAACATTGAAATTTAGCCAATTTAATTAAATAATTTAGCTGTAAACATTTGATATATAATATAAACATTGTAATAAAACCTGTAAAATTAAACTACAAAATTTAATCATTGATATGTCATGTATGAATAAATATAAGCATTGAAATACCAATGGGTCCCATTTTGAAACTACATGAAATCATGTAGGTCAACATCGTCTGAGCTGAATACGTGAAATCACGTTGGTCTACATCGTCTGAGATGAATACGTGAAATTACATAGGTCAACATCGCCTGAGCTGAATACGTGAAATCATATAGGTCAACATCGCCTGAGCTGAGTACGTGAAAACATGGAGGTCAAAATCGTATGAGCTGAATACAATAAAGAACGAGACCAGAGGTTTCAGACAGCATCAATATTTGGATTTATTATTTTTTTAAATATATCTCTAAGTAAGTCAAGATCTAAATTAGGTTTGTAGAAGTTTTTTTCGGTTTGAAAGTAATGGCTTCAAATTTTGAAATGAACACTTCAGGTTTCGTGACAAGGGTTCCCTGGAAGTAGAAAGACAAAGGAACGTTTTTTAGGTTTTGTGTCTAAGGGTTCCCTGACGTAGGAAATAAGGAGGTAGAAAAGTGATCCGCTCCGGGGGCGCTTTTTGGGAGAGCAGTATTTTTTAGTCTGCTCTATCGAAAATAACAAATATTTTGTTTCGCGGAATATGCTAGGCAGACTCCAGACACATTTTTTTTTTAAAATCCGAACGACCATTCATGAATATTTTGAAGTGTCTGTGTTTGACGTGAATTAAGCGAGGCCTAACGATTGTGGTTTAAGTTGGTGAGGCAAAGTCAAGCACCAGCGTCATGGACTCAACACAACACATTGGAATTACCTTAATGAACTCTTCATACCACTTTGGCACCACCCTCATTAACTCTTCATAACTCACTGGCACCACCCTCATGATCTCTTTATAACCAAATGAAAGGGAAGATTTTGTTATATGGTTGGGTAGATCATTTCTTGAAATATTTAATACATTTTTTATCATAAGTTTCCATGACCTAGATATGGTATTGTCATAAGCTTTAATGACCTATGACCAAGATATGACATTGTCATGAACTGTGATGACCCATGACCTAGATTTAACATTGTCAAAAAGTGTAATGATCTATGACCTAGATGACATTGTCATGAACTATAATGCCGATCTATGACCTAGATATAACACTGTAATAATGAAAGATACAGCTAGACACTTTAAAGGGTTTAAGGTTGTTTCTTGGGCCATTTATTGGTATATTCACCTTTGGAAAACAGTCGTTTGTAAACCAGTAAATGGTTGCTAAGGTAAACAATGCGGTGACATTGAGAAGTTGTAGATTCAAGGATAAATTGTCGGATCTTTTCATTTCTTTTTTTGGCGTTTTAAATATGTGAATCTATTAGTTCTCTTAATAATTCATTACTAATTTTAAGAGTGAGTTACTGATGTATAGATAAGACTGTATAATAGTATAATTTGATACTCTTTCAAGATTTCAAACCATATGATCATATTTAATTCTAGGAAATACAAAACATTGGAATTTCGCCTTTAAGAAAAAAAAAAAAAAAAAAAATATTGCGAAATAACGCAGCAATATAAAATTTTTGGCAGACGATTTAATATCATCTCAATGAAATAAATAGTATAATTTGATACTCTTTCAAGATTTCAAACCATATGATCATATTTAATTCTAGGAAAAAAAAAACATTGGAATTTCGCCTTTAAAAAAAAAAAAAAAAAAAAATATTGCGAAATAACGCAGCAATATAAAATTTTTGGCAGACGATTTAATATCATCTCAATGAAATGTTATCATTTGGATGAGTCAGTGAGGTAGAAAATGTGCAATGATACCGGCAATAAGACTATCGTTATGTACTTGAACCATGCGTCACTTAGTTAAGGTCATTCTGGTAAGATGACCTCAAGCAGTGACCGTGAGAACTTTACCCTCTTGAGAAAAAAAAATACGTATTTTTGTGGATCTTAATCACCAACTCTATCAAGGTTGAGCTGACGGTGGATGACCGTGGGAATATCTCTTGGGGCACTTGAACCTCTAGGATCTCAGCTAGCGCGCCACGGATCCTTGTAAACCGTGTGTCATCGCCTCTAGTCACAATGTCACGTTACTTTATGCCATTGGCATTATTGGTGTTTAGATTAATAGACACGCAACCGGAACTTCGTAGACGTAAGCAGGGTGGCCACAAGACAACTGGCCACCCATAAAAAACTTGCGTTCAGCCAGTACTATATACTTTTTTAAAATTAATTTAGACAAGCCCACTGGCCGCCATCTTCTGTCAACAGACTGAAAAACGTTATACAAAGAAACAAAGGTATTGATACTAACACTATTCAGTTTAAATATACTATTAAACCTCTATAAAATACAAATTCAAATATACAGAAACAAAAAAAACGATATCATCTGCAAGGGAAAAGGTACAATCCTCGAAAAATACAAATATTAATTTTTATTTAAATAACGTGTACAATCCTTCAGTATATACCGTCTCTTATACTTTTAGGGAAATAAGTCAAAATCTCTTACGGCTAAGAAAGCTGGATGCCTATATATATATATATATATATATATAAGGATTAAATTAAAACAACCCAGACAAGGGGACTTAATTATATGTAGTGTAATTTTTATTTTATTTCTGAATACGTAAAATTTCACAAATTGTTTTTTTTTTTTAATTATCTTTTATTATTTTGTTTTAGATTTTGCGTTAGATTTGTTCAGCAAACACCATCGGTATTTATTCAAGTATTTGAAAACCATATAAATAATTATAATATTTGAAATGTATTTGAATCTGAATTGGGTTGGATTGTGAAAAAAAGCAACATCGTAATCTTAAAAAGTGTCTCCTTACTACTGAATACAAGGAAAAGAAATGAATAGGGACTCTTTTTTTTTGCACTATCATCTTTCTGAGGTTCCTCTATTAAAATATACATGCAGAGATGTATCGTAAACCAGTATTTTCAATCGATCAATTTTTATTGGGAGGGGACTCAAAGAGCTTTCATTTAAGATATCCTTTTTTTAATCCACGCATTCATCGCCATTTGTCACTTTTTTATAGAGAGAAATCTTTGTTTTTCATTATTATTATTATTTAATATCAATAATTTTTGAACCGCAAGACGTTATATTTCATTTTGGTTTTAAACTTTCCATTAAATGGCTGGTGCCCGGGAACTTTGGGGGCTATAAGCTGTAGTCTAAAATTAGGCATACACTGTTTTGAATTAATTCTATGGGTAATACATATGAGTTGGGAAATTTAGAGACAAATATATATTTTAAACAGCTTGTATTTGTGAGAGTGTAACCAAAATGTTTTATTTAAGGAAACAAGAATAACGTGGTAAACAGAGAGCTAGGAGGCAGATAACTGATAATGCTAATAAGTAATGCACGTCTTTTTATCTCCCTTGTTACAAGACAGGAAATCCAATTACGCCGCTGACATGTTCCATATGGACCTGTCCGTTGGCGATGATCACCCTGTCAGTTCGTTTAATCGAATCGTGGGTACATGAACGGCATGGTCTTTAGTTAGTGGAACAATAATTGTAGTAAAAACATCAAAGGAGTTCGTTGAGAACAGATCTTTAGAATGTGATATTTGGAATGGGACCTTTAGGAAGGGATCCCCGGGAAGGGGTATTTAAGAAGTGATCTTTTCGAAGTGTTACTTGTGAAGATATATTTGTGAGGGATGTCTGGGAGAGATGTATGAGAGGATTTTCAAAGAAGTGATCTCACTGAAGTTCCCTTCCAGATTTTTTTTTTAGAAGTTATCTTTTGGGAAGTGATATTGTGAAATAATATTTTAGAAGTGATCTTTAGGAAGTTATATTGTGGAGAAACTAGCCCGGATCATCGGCCTTCTTTACAGTATTGACAGTATCGCTGATATATACATTTAAGGCTGATATATACATTTAAGGCTGACATACACATTTAAGGCTGATATATACATTTAAGTCTGATATAGACATTTATGAGACGTCAAAAGTTGAGTCAAATCATCTTTAATTTACTGCAGTGTTTTTAGGTATTTGTAGTTTCTCAAACGAAACCCCGACCTCATCCCGAAACTCTCGTTTGAGTCTTTATTATTTATGATACACTGGGGAAGAGGCAATGCATACTTTAAAGGAAAAAGTGGAGCAAGATATGTGGAAGCTTTTAATATAAAGATCGGACAATATATATTATTTCAAGGTTCCACATACCTTGTTACACTAATTCCTTCACACGACTGGAACACTGTCCGCCGTTTATTACTATTATCTTATATTTTGAAATGGAGGTAAAGATATAACTTTTGTATACAGAATATATTTGATTGTGCCGTCAATACACCCAATGGAGACTACGCTAATATCCAGAAATTTTATAAACATCTTAATTTAAATTTCCAATGATCTCATGACTAATTGCTATTTGATTGTTTTTTGTTTTTTTTGTTTTTTTACATCAATATTTTTAAAAAAATAATTAATAAACATTACTTCCTGTCTTGGTGACGCCTAAGCCATAATTGGTTGAATGTCTTGTCTTAATATTATAAGTTAAACTATATTTATCATTCTCGTATCAGTAAAATTAGCATATGGTAACTAAATATAAATTTTCCATTACATTGTAAGCTTTATTCACGCGATATTTGGCCTACAAAAATTTACTAAGATGGGGAAGCAAGCTCTAGAGAAGTCTTTGAAAGGGGGAGATATTTGCTTAGGACACGTGATCACTACTACAACTACTAATACAACTACTGCTTCTACTACTACTACTACTACTACTACTACTACTACTACTGCTACCTTAAAGGTGTGACACTTACAGGAGCTGAGGATATCGCAAAATTTTGAAAGTGCGATAACTACGGTTTTTTAAACAATCACACACATAACTAACATAATGATTGTTGTAACAATAACACTAATACACAATCTTATCAAATGTATTGAATCCTATTTTTTTAACATTAAAATTCCATTCAGTTTATACAGATAGCTGAGAAATTATTTTCAATTCCAATTCTTAATGAGCCCATCTCACATCTAATAAGTATACAAATCCGGTATCGTATCTAATAATTCATTAATTAGGTCAATGAGTCTGACATAAACAGAGGCATCAATCACCGAACCAAAGTCCCCAAACCAGGGGCGTAACTAGGGTTAGTGACGATCGGTACGGGTAGAAAATTTGCCCTGGGAGGTACTGCGGCTTCATGACTCCCTCCTTGTCTACGCCACTTTTAAAAACGCCTTTGTTAGGCGTGAAAAATCAATGTACTTTTGTTTGGTATAAGAAATAAAATATTATGAATTGATTATGTCTTTCTTCTTCCCTTTATGATCTCCAAGCAGTCTAAAGTCAGAGTATGATCTCCGATTAGTCTAAAGTGAGAGTAGGTAAAATATTTTCCACAAATCTCAGCACCCCATGAAAGATGTTACTTTTCTCCATCAGAGTCTGAATCTATTCTTCTTTACTCAAACGTGTTATAATAACGACGATACCACACGTAGAGAGATTTTCCAACTTTCTGTTTTCAACGACCACAAACATTCTTTAATTCCTGCCACGTTAAAATGTGTCCTCGTGTGTCTAAGGGTCAAGGGGCAACTATTGTAATGTCACGTGAAAGCCCCCAAATGTGTTTAAACTTCCCACTTTTACTCTCGGAATAATAATCTTTTTAGAGACATTTAAATTCAATAAACCAAAACCGGGAGTGGGGGATGGGGGGTCAAAGGTTTAAATCAGTTTCTCAACTGCTCGGACTAGCACTTAAAATAACATTGACCGTTATTGGTGAAGCATTTTTCGCAATTTATTAGGATTAATTTGAAATGATTCAAACATAAATTTGTTACTGTTAATGGAAGGTTAAAACAATTTTATCAACGAACTTTTTTCTTCCTTATTACCATAATAGTATAACAATGATTCCCAGTGACCTTGACTTACTATTGCGGTAAGACATCTACGAACAGACACAATAGCGGAACACTTAGCGTCTTATGTTGATTTAAGTTTTACCAAATTATAACATCGTAATTTTGAGGGGAAAAAAATATAATGTTATAAACCTTTTCCTTAGATTTAAGTTTTTTATTGAAATAAGTTTAATTTAAGATACTTCTTCAAGTTTGTTAGAGCTTATATTTCAGTTAATTATATTTGTTAATCTACGACTGAGCTTTCTGTGTGTGTGCTGGGGACGCGGTTTGAGGGGGGGGGGGTATTTTAAAAAGATTTTTTTTTCATTTTAAGGTCTTCTATTATAATATATTTTGCTGCTTCTGGTGTGATGGCTCCATATCACAGCCGGCCTTCCTCCTTTCAAAATGTGTTATATTAATAGTGCTGAGTGGGGAAAAAGGCTGTCAAGCAGAGAGCTTGATGCGTGACGGATGAACTCAGGTAAAAAGGTTGAATTATTTTCGGCGGCGACAATTATATTAATCAATAATAAATAGCCCCTTGTGTGTGGTGTGGCACTATCTGTATGACTGTGCGTAGGATTTCTGTCGGCCTATTGTTTAAAGGAGGGTATGTATTATAGAAAAGAGAAGGTCACTCTTTTTTTTTTACTACTTGGGAACCACCCCCCCCCCCAACCGGGGTTTTAAAAAATGCATCCGGTTTAAGCCCTAGTTTATTTTTTTCCCATTATTGTATTTTAAGCAACAATACTCCGCCCCCCCCCCCCCCCCCCCGGTCAGTAAATGATCCCTGCCATATATGGTAAGTAAGCTGAACCAACCCTTAAAGTAGAGAGTGAGGAAAGCGTGCTATGTGCTTAAAGAAAACAAACAACACGCTTGTGCTAACCGTGACCTACTGCCCTAAACCAGGGGGTTTTCTTCTAATTTTAATTACGGCTATTTTAAGCCGCTAGGACTCCCCTCAACGTCGCCTTGTTTACACACAAAGAAAAACGACGAAACCTGTCACAATAAAAGGGGATCACGCCGTGAAATAGTTTCGTTCTTTTATTAACAACAGCCTGGGAAAACCCGTGCACCTGTTCTTTTCTTCTTCTTCTTATTTTTTTTTTCTCATCATTCGTTTTGCTTTAACTTTAAGAATTATATTTCATGATTTCCTCTTCACTTCCTCTCGTATGTTTCTAATTCTAAAACAGTGGTTCTTAACCTTTTTTGGAGCTTCTGAACCCCACAAGTTTCATATGCGCCTTGACCGAACCCTTCTTAATAGAAAAAAAATTTTAAAAAATTTTTTTCCCCCTGAAATGTTTTTGGACCTCCGCCGAACCCCTGAGATTGACTCACCGAAACCCCGGGGTTCGATTGAACCCAGGTTAAGAACCACTGTTCTAAAACACAAGCAGTTGCTCTTGTAACTTACTCTAGTTTATTAGTAGTCAAACCGTATCCCTGTATCCCCCCTATATCGCTGTATCACAATTTAAAACACAAAAATGTCAGAAAAGAAGGCGTAAGCTTTCTATTGTATTTTTTTAAAATTTGTTTTACAATAGGAAAATGTATTTGTAACTATTATAAACATCGTTTAAATTTTATTTGTTCCGATTATTTTTTTTTTCTTTCTAAATTTTAATCATATCGTTTCCTGTTTTTTTTTTTTTTTTTTTTTTTTTTTTTTTTTTTTTTGTTTTTTTTTTTTTTTTTTTTTTTGTTGTTGTTTGTTGTTTTTTAAGGGGGTGGGCCATTACTGCTAAAAAAATTCGACTCCCTAGCTGTGCACAGATAGATTTACACACCAAATGCATCTTCTTCTAGGTTTATTTTAGAACCAATCATTCATTTGCACAGTGCATTCTTTTTGGTGAATTTCAAAGTTTTATTAAGCTGGATGAATTTTAACAGCTAAAAAGTATCACCTTAAGGACATTTTTGAAGTACACTATCAAAACCAGCTGTTGAGAATTATGGGTCGCGACCCCTTTGCGAGTCGAACGACCCTTACACTGGTGTCGCCTAAGACCGTCGGAAAACACTTAATTATGAAGAAGCAACAAAAATAATTTTAAAGTTGGGGGCCACAACAACACGAGGAACTGTATTAAAAGGTCTCGGCTTTAGGAAGATTGAGAACCACTACTTTTAACCAATAAAATGAGACATTTGTTAGCATATGTTGTCATCGGCAACGAGTCTATGGGCTAAGTTTCAGTGCGATAGGTTGACGTGAAGTGAATAAATGGGCCATCCGCAGAGTTTGCCAGCCAGGCAGCCCTCCACCAACCAAAGCGAAGTTAATGTAAAGGATTCTTCTTCTTCTATATCTTAAGGGCCCACGATCAATTTATTGATCATTGTTGCTCCAATTCATGCTGAGGGGGATTTGCAATGTTTCTGTGCCTTGTGTTGATGAGGATATTTCATTGGTTGCAAGGGTTACTTTGTAAGGGTATAATGCACTGTTGTTTGTTTTTTTTAAAACGCACTTCCGGTATTTTTAAGAATCTCATGAAGCGCAGTTATCGGGAATTTTAATAAATGAAATCATCGCCATCCGGTAGCGTCAGTGACTTTGTTACATAGAGAATAGTGCATTTTTATAACTACATGTGTTCGTTGTGTTTTTTGTTGTTGTTGTTGTTTTTTTCGTTTCTTTAGCGTGGCCTAAAACAAAGCTTGGAATGTACAACTGTTTTCATGACATCCTTTCTTGCGAAGGTTTCTTGTAAATTTGGAGACATTTAAATAAAATACATCAAAATTTAAAAAACGTGTCATCACGTTACACCAATGGTACGATAACGTCATGGCCGCATCGTTCTATAGTGTGCTGAATGGGGCCTTTAAACCTTCTCCCGCTGTTCCTCATCCATTTCCCTGGCGTCTCGATCCTGACGCGATAACATTATTATAGCAACAATGAAGGGGGATAAATGCGTCGTGAAATGAAATGCAGAAAAAAAAATTTACTTTAAATTCTAATTCTGCGGAGACCGTTTGTAAACTATGCATGCATTCTATGCGTGCTGAAGTATAAGTTACTAAAATTAAAGGGAGACCACTGTGAGTGGGCTAGGTGTTGGCCTCTCCTGTGACTATTAAAGTGTGTTAAACGTTATCGGTAAGTGACAGAGTCCACGTGTTGTCGGATATAGATTCCGTAGTGTTATAATCACAAACAAAAATCTGAGAAAGGATTTATTTTATTTTTTAAAAGTTAATGTAACATATTTAAAAGAAGGCACTTTAAAAAAAGTGAATGCATAAAAAGGGATTATAAAAAAAACGGCTAACAGTGTAAATGCGTACCGGTACTATATACTAAATAGTGACTGAATTGCTATACTTAGAAGCAAGAAAACTTTGAGAGAGCTGGTCGAGAATTGGTTCCAAAATAAATTGTTAATCTGCCGTCTAGTCACAGGGAGCATAAAAACTTCAAAATTATAACATGCAACATAGGCTACCATCTTCTACATTAAAGCTTCAATGTGACGACATAGGATACCATCTTCTACATTAAAGCTTCAATGTGAAAACATATTCTACCATCTTCTACATAACATATTCTACCATCTTCTACATTAAAGCTTCAATATGACAACATAGGCTAACATCTTCGACATTAAAGCTGCAATGTGACAACATAGGCTACCATCTTCTACATTAAAGCTTCAATGTGACAACATAGGCTACCATCTTCGACATTAAAGCTTCAATGTGACAACATAGGCTACCATCTTCTACATTAAAGCTTCAATGTGACAACATAGGCTACCATCTTCTACATTAAAGCTTCAATGTGACAACATAGGCTACCATCTTCTACATTAAAGCTTCAATGTGGCAACAAAGTCTACCAGCTTCAACATAGAGTGGATATGTTAAACAACGCACCAGGCGTTCAACATAACACACATTGTTAATCGTACAATATTAAGCCCAGCCCAACCTCTTAAGTGTCATGAACTATTCACAGTTTTGTCTCATACAACATGTATGAACAACAATAAAATGTCAACTCGCTATAAGGTTCTCTAACTATTGCACTCCAATCAAACACTTGAGTTTTATTGCACCGTATTGGGGAACGAGATAATAGAGAAGATCTTGCCATGAAACCAGTGGAAAGTAAGTTAACCAGGATCGATCTTGATGTTGGCATATTCCAATAACATCATTTTTGCGGGGAAAAATAAAAGAGCGTGAATTCTTTGCATGTTAATTTAATTACGTTGATTTTTTTCCCACTTACCTCGAGGTTTTTCTGGTCTAAATTTGTTTCTAATCACGTTGATAATATCCCGCAGAGCTTGCATTTTTCACAGCAAATATGTAAATCTAGTGTCTTAAAAAACGCCTGCTACGTGATTGCCCTCGTTCATGAAAGACTTGAATAAACTTTTTTTGTTCCTTGTGTTAATTAGTGTTATTCACACAAAGTAAACTGCCGTAGTGTTTTGATTTCAATCAAAAATAGAACACACCAACTTTAAGTCCATAGTACATCAATCCATCTGCTTGTACACGCGAGTCTGAGTTGAACAGAAGTCTAGGATCGATCGAACGCGCTCAAGATTTTCGAACACACGTCTTTGTTGAACTGGAAACTCCTTAGCAGTGTTAACCCAGTAAGGAATTCTTAGTCTTTTTATCTTCGAGTGGGTCTCTCCCCCCCCCCCCCCCAACAAGTCAAGCGATTGAATCTCAGTGAGAACGTATGCCTGTTAATAAACGTCCTTCTCACAAAAATAGGTCATGCGAGCTAGTTGAAGTTTCCCTGGCATGACAACAGACGTCGACTTTGAGTGCATGATTAAGCAGCCACTCTGTAGTCTGTTAAATTTCTACTGACATTGTTTAATTAAGAACAAGGAGAATATGCCCCCCCCCCCCCTCACGCACAGAACCTGTACATTACTATGATGTTAGTTCCTCTCACTTATCTTTGATAATAAGACTTTGATATCCTTCACGTGGTCTTTTAATATTTGAATTTTACGCTCTTGATCGACGAAAACCAAAGAAACATGTAGAATACACATAGAAAATAGACTTATAAAGTAAAAAAAAGTTTGCCGAAAATGCCACCCCTGAAGTTCTATCTCACCCCCACCCCTTCCCTCCTTTTCCTACCCCAGTGTATGTACAAGACAGTCGTGCAATATTTGGTAACACTTGATTGACACTAACAACAGAACAGTTCATCAAAATACACTTATGGGGATTCTTTTTATAGTGAGATCCGTTTTTATTACCAATTTTATGTCTTCTATGATCTCTAACATATACAATAGAGGGCCCTTCCGCCCCCCCCCCCCAAGGGAGGGCCACTAACAAACACACCTAAGGGAGGGCCACTAACACACCAAAGGGAGGGCCACTTACAAACACTCTCAAGGGAGGCCACTAACAAACACTCCCAAGGGAGGCCACTAACAAACACAACCAAGGGAGGGCCACTAACAAACACAACCAAAGGAGGGCCCCTAGTACACCCAATGGAGGGCCACTAACACACCCAAGGGAGGGGCACTATCACAGCCAAGGGAGGTCCACTAACACATCCATGGGAGGGCCACAAACACATCCAAGGGAGGGCCACTAACACACCCAAGGAAGGGCCCCTAACACACTCATAATAAAAGTGCTTGTAGTGAACAGTGGACTTGTTACGCACTGCCTTCTATAGCGAGAACTTTATCTCTTATTTTAATTTATGGCTCGTTCAAACAGTGCATAACATACAACGATACCATAAAAAAATACAATAGCAAAAATACGACACTCAAAACATTACTAATTACAATTCATAAAATTTATTTAAGCATTAATATAATTGCAAAACAAAAGAAATATAATTACAATCATCAACTTACAAAGTATTGGGATGTCTTGTACCGGTACACAGTTAGTACAGTGTGCCAATTAATAAGGTACAATGATTAATGCGAATAAACGCATATGAGTACACAGAATAATACACTTGTCTCGTGAAGTTAAAAATATCGATCAATCAATCTCTCCCGTCTTTCAATTCCCAGGCTTTATATATGGGTGTCGCCTGTTTCTATCTAAGAAGATTCGGGGGCTATTTAATTCCTATTTAATGGCTATTTAATGACTATTTAATGGCTATTTAATGACTTTTTAATGACTATTTAATGGCTATTTAAAGACTATTTAATGACTATTTAATGGCTATTTAATGACTATTTAATGACTATTTAATGACAATTTAATGACTATTTAATGACTATTTAATTTGTAGAGCTATAGTTATTCTGTATTTTGGTATAATTGCTTAACTTTGGGTGTAACCATCAATTTTTGAAATTTTTAAAATATGACTGATATTTCGCTTCACGTTAATCCATGCAGTTTCTAAAAAAAATGTGTATTTTAAATACACTTGCCATGGGTACACAAGCAGTTTAAGCACATAGACCTTTAGTTCCCCTACATTTTGATATAATTATAATGTACGCTTTCTTATCGGTTTAAATTGTTGGTGGTGATTTTTTTGAAAAGGTACAATATTGCGTTTTTTACCTCCCTTTTCAACTTTTTCAAAATTTTTGAGGAAACACCATTGTTATTACAATGAAATTTAATGACTTAGTTATTTTAAACCTTTGAAACAAATTCAGTGTGGTCTCTATATATGTGCAAAGTTTCTTTCAGCTATATCTCCGGGGGGAAAGCCAAGTGCCCCCCCCCCGAGCAAAAATATGTCCAACAATAAATCAACTGGCACTGCCCCCCCCCCCCAACCGGGGGAAAATTTCTGAAATAACACTGTATATGTGGGTATGTGTTGAGTGTAAATGAATGAGTACAAGTGATTTAGTTTTACAGATATAACATTCCGAAAATGGCGATTTTGATTGTGGCAAAATAAAGTCAAACAAATAAATTTTAAAAATTCATATTTTTTTTACTATTTCAGGTATATGAACAAGTTTGGTATCAATGTTCTTAAAATCACGAGTTCTTGATATGACAGTATAAAATAAAGCTATAGGACTCTTGAAAAATTAGTTTGAGGTAGGCCTACTGGTACCTAATACAATGTTAATTAATTTTTATTTTTAAAATTATTTTTTACAGACATCCCGTCGTTCTTACGGACATTTAATTTTACGGACAAGTCCCTTAGGTTAAATTTGTACGAACTGTCCGTAAATTTACTAACGTTTGGTAACAAATCCACACCTTGTCTGTAATTGACCAGATTCTTGGTACGGAGTTGCTGAATTTCACACACCCTTTACATGATATAGAAAGCTAAGAGTGTCCAAGTACAGATGCAGTTGTTTGAAACGTTTCTTCAAGGATCCCGGCCTTACAAAATGTGTATTTTTATAGATACTGTTCACCATTGGCGATTTTAAGGAGCACTTGCTTATTGCCATCGGCGCCCAGCCACCGTCTGCACGGCCTTGCATCCTTTTATTATTACGAAGTGGCTATTCGTACCCGGGTACCAGAAGTGAGAGGTTGGGATAAAAAAAAAAACTAATTAAAATTTTATTGTTGGGTTTGTAAAACACAATGAGGTATCAAATGAAAGATAATTGAATGAACTATATGTTTGTAAACTGAATTCTTCAGTTTAACTAAAATAAACTACCACAAATGACATCCGAAAAGCACTGAGTCAAAATGGATCCAGACACGCAGCGCCGCCATTCGCACCCGGGTACCATTAGACTCACGCGACTCGGATGTCATTTGTGGATACCTTTAATTTGATACCTCATTTTGTCCTACAAACCCAACAATAAAATTTTAATTGTTTTTTAATCCTGACCTCTCACTTCTGGTATCCGGGTACCAATAGTCGCAGCCTTTATATTATTTCATCTGCCTCCCACTTTTATCGTATAGCGTAGAAGTACAATGTCCACCCCACTCCAAAATGTTATAGGATCATGTCCCCAACTTCGGTGGTTGAGGTTTCTTCCTAATCAGAATTAACCTCCTCCCCCGAGAACATAATTTTAAATCGATTTGTGACCACTTATCAAGCAACTATTGTGATCACTTCCCAAACAACTATTGTGACCTCTTATGAAACAGATGATTATTGTTTTTTTTTTTGTTGTTGTTGTTCTTGTCTAAACACGCAGACGTGATACAACCAACAGACATGAGTTGAACCCAGCAGAAAAGAGACGCAGCCAGAAGATATGAAATACAATCAGAACATATGAGACACAATCAGCAGAAATGAGTTACAACCAGAAGATATGAGATAAAACCAGAACATATCATATACAAACAGCAGACATGAGATACAACTAGGAGACATGAGATACATACAACCAGCGGACATGATTTACAACCAGCAGACATGACATGCAATAGGCAGACATGTGTTACAACCAGCAGACATGAGTTACAGCCAAAAGACATGAGATACAACCAACAGACATGAGATACAACCAGAAGATATGAGATACAACCAGAAGACATGAGATACAACAAGAAGACATGAGATACAACCAGCAGACATGTGTTACAACCAGAAGATATCAGACACAACCTGCAGACATGAGATACAACCAAAAGATATGAGTTACAACCAGAAGCTGGAGTTACAACTAGCAGACATGAGATACAACCGTAAGACATGAGATACAATCAGCAGACATGAGTTAAAACCAGAAGACATGAGTTACAGCCAGAAGACATGAGTTACAACCAGACGATAGGCATTACCACCAACAGTTATGAGATACAACCAGAAGACATGATACAACCAACAGACATGAGATACAACCAGCAGACATGTGTTACAACCAGAAGATATCAGATACAACCAACAGACATGAGATACTACCAGCAGACATGAGGTACAACAATAAGATATGAGTTACAACCAGCAGACATGAGATACAACCAGCCCACATGAGATACAACCAGAAGACATAAGATATAACCAGAAAATATGAGACACAACCAGCAGAATGAGAGACTATGAGAAGGCATGAGATGCAACCAGCAGACATGAGATACAACCAAAAGACATGAGATACAACAAGAAGACATGTGTTACAACAAGAAAACATGAAATACAATTAGGCGACATGAAATACAACCAGCAGACATGATTTACAACCAGAAGACATATGTTCTTTTCATTAATAATTTAATAAATAACTTTGTTTTAGAAAGGCAACAATTTTAACAAATCTTACAACATACCTGCATTTTATTTAAATTAGTTTTTGACTAAGAACCACACAATTTAGTGCAGAATCCAAATTTAACTAAATTCAGACCAACAAATCAATATATACTTATTTATATATATATATATATATACATATATATATATATACATATATACATACATATATATATACAAATATATACATATTTATAATATATATACATATTTATAATATATATATATATATATATATATATATAAATATATATGAGGGTGCACTGCATCATTGATGACTTTCAAATTCATAACCTTCCATTGGCCAAGAATGTAGTCAGTCTCTGCTCCATATTGACCAGGACAGTTTGCTGTATATCCAATGCTGTGAAAAGTGTTCTTTTGTGTTGCAATGTAATGCCAGACGGCTACTTCACAGAGAGTGTGGGATGAAAATCAATGCGTTTGATGATGATTCCCAGTTTTGTCTCAAGTGCTGTAACCAGGTCTTGCTTGAGCTCATGCTATAATGGAGAGTCAAAGGATGGGAAACCAACCTAGATTTCTCATTAGTACCAAAGAGTCCAGAGAACGACTCTATTGCAGCTTTAGCAACAGCTTCATATGTTTTCACAGAGTAGATCCAGATCATTCTGTGGACCAGATACATGCACATGTAAACCAGGCTTACTTTCAGATAGAGCTTCATTACAAAAGTGTTAAATTGGTCTAGTAAGTACCAACCATCTGTCTAAAGCCTAAATTTAGCAGAGAATATGATTTTTCTCCAGCTTGAGCTCTTTGGTGTTGGATGAATGGCTTTTCAGGCTCATAACAAGAAGAGCAAATTTGACATAAGAATTGTCTTCTCACAAATTGTAGATTTAAAGTCTCTTTAACAAAAGTGCTAGTTTGTTTAGAGTTAACATTACCTGTGACACACTTGTAGTTTTTGTTAACAGAATTTTCAGATGTCAAAATTCTAATCACTGTGCAGAGATCCCTCATGATTTACTGACGCACGCAAGGCATCAACCAGATGTGTGGGAAGAATGTCAATGCTCCCACTGCCACTACAATGACCTTCGTGAATGAAAGATTCTGCTCTGGTTATTATTTTCCCCTTTTTAACTTCTAGGTTTCCAAAAGGTCCAGATGCTGACACAACTGACAGACTGGATTTGAACTGGGAGTCTACGAGAGGCATTGTGCCATACAGCTCACTGGGTTCATATTCTGTCTTTATATCAGCTTCAAGAAAATGTTGACATTGATTAATAAGTTCATCCGTTGGGCTGTCCATGGGGAAGCTACTCATTTCATGAGTAAAGACTTCTTCTTTTATTTTCTTTAGAGGAGCCTGCCATGGAAATTGTAAAATTTAAGTCAAAGAACCGTGAATTAAATAAATGACTTGTTGAATTAATTTAGGGGACAGTTATATATTGATTACGTACTCACTAAAAGAAAAAGTGGGTATGAAGGTTTATTTCAAATATGGAAGTATATGGGGAGAAGGCTGGACTATTTGACAAATGCATTTGTACACAAGAAATCAGACAGCTATAGACTTTAAATGTTTTTATGGAGGAGAGTGCAAATATTGTCATAAAATTAAGGAAATTTAAAAGACATGAAATATAATAGACAAGGTAAATTAAAAAGGAACCTTTTTGTTACATTTTTTTAAAAAGTCTAATTTACTTAGCAGTATCAATGACATTCTGTTTAATTAGTTTATAACACATTTCGAAAGCCAAGTCTTTCAGGTGCAATGTTGCGTAACTCCAATTTAAAGAATGATAATAAACAATCAATTTTTTTCAAATACTTGTACTGTTAATCTATGTCTGTAGTTTTTCTATGATTTTTGCACAATATTGTGCTTTTTTCATGATTCTCCAAAAGAACTAGATTATATGTTTTATAGCCATTTTAATTGTTTCTATAGTATAGTAGTTACTATCCTAATGGCTCATTTTTATTTTAGTTAGTTTACATGTTTTTAATAAAATTGTAAAGCGCTTAGAGATTTAAGGTAAGCGATTATATAAAAATGCCTAAATAAATAAAAAAATAAATATGTAATATTGTACATGTGACTGCTTTTACTTAGAAAAAGCATTTGGATTCAATGTCATTGTTCACGTTCTCATCAGGGAACAAATCTAAACATTTAAAAACCTAATGATTCAATTCATTAAAATGGATAAAAATTTCTGAGAGTGGTGCAAGGCTATTATTTTATGTCACTCAACTCTTGTGATCATTGAATTATTATTTCGTCATGAAGATAACATCAGATCTGAGTCTTTTGGAGCCAGCATTTAAATAATAAAAACTGCAACCCTTTTGGGAGGTTGCATGTAATGAAGCATTCATGACTTTGTTGGAGGGGCAGAGAAAAAGTTGTGTACCGCTGTCGGAAAAAAAACTATACAATACATTTTTGTAATTTGATATGATTTTATTGAACTACCGATACATGCAATGGAGCATCTAGGCTTTAGACAGCAGGTTGGTACTTACTGTGAAGTCTGGGATCCCTGGGATCACATTTGGTGTCGAACTAGAACCATGATTAGAGTTTGTGTCCGATGAAGTGGGGAGTTCCATTACCGATACTCTTTTTTCTTCCAGCACAATTTTTTGTATGACTATTCTGGTAGCTAGTTTCCTTCTCTTGGGGACATCTTTGAGATATGGTAGTAAACTCATAAGGAAATAATAATCTTCATCATTTTCATATCTCATTCTGCTGCTGGGCATTTTTTCAAGTTGATCAGACTTCCTCTTTTCCAATGAAATATGCTGATTTATAGCACCAGATTTACCGTCTTTTAATTTTCTTTGCATATGACAAGGTTTTTTGAAGAGTTTGCACTTGTAGCATAAAAGTTTGTCTTTTTCAGCTTTTCTTCACAGCACGTCTACTTCCTGCATTTGGCAAATACCATCTTGCCTCAAGATCACAACCAATGATATTCTCACGTGTCATCATGTTGTCTTTTAATTCTAGTAAAATTTTTATTGCCCAGTGGCTAAGCGCACTGGCTTGCGAAATTCAGCCCACAATTTATGCCCTTTTAACTTTCACAACTTGGCCTGAAAATGAAAAACATAAAAAATCTCTTAGTAAACTATACAGCACATATTCACCTGAGTAAGTGCTCGATTTAAAAAATGTTTATCCTTCATTATTCCCTTCTATGGAAATGGTTTATATGTCACTGGTAATGTAATATTCTATTTCAGGGGTTAATAACCAGGGGTTCCCATAAGGTTGTGGGAATCAGTGTCAGGCAGTGTGGAAAAACACTGAAAATCAGGTTTATTCGCATTTTATTGTGGTGGGGGGGGGGGGTGCAAGAAATGAAATCGAAATGAATGGTTATTTAAGAGATTTAATATCAAAAGGGGTGCAGTGCTGTAAAAAGTTTAAGTACCGGTACAACTGTTCCATTTACTATTATATACAACAACCCTATCATCATCAGGATCAAATGAGTCATGTGGTGCAATATAGGATAGCTACTTTTAGGACCACATGCCTTTTTCCATTGTAGAATTGTTCACAAAAAGTGCAAATGACAATGAGTGAGCCACCATGGAGATGTCTAGCCTGTAATGACTCTAAGAAGGGCAAATATCTTTATATCAACTTCTCTACCATTGTCAGTTTGAACTAATTCAATTTAAAATCTTCTAATCTGCAATCATTTCAGGATTACTTGATCCAAATTATATACATTTTAACAGTCTATTGAGTTTAGTGCCAATGGCAGGCAAAGTGTAATTGGGGCTTAATTCTTTAGACATTTAACTTGTAAGATTGTCCACTATCATAAACAGCATATTTGAAGATAATGAATAATGAAGCAGTTTATTGTGTAAAACTATAATTTTCAAATGGGAAATGGAAAACTATCATGATAAATATAGAAAACAATGAAGGCATTGTTTTGACAGACAAAAACACGGAATGGGCATTTCATTTACTTTTAATAATCCCTTCACATGACTCCATGATTATCGTGTGAGTGGGGGCTACTTGATACAAAAAAATTCCTGAAGCTCAAACAAATGTACAATTTAATCATAAAAATAAAGTCTCAAGAGGGGTTAATAAATGAGAGTGCATTTTGAAGACTTGTAGCCAATCCCTAGCTTAAAATTGAATAGTTTAACTAGCCATACACTAAGTGTTTAACACTAACTGTTTAACACTATCATTACATGAATAGGTAACATTGTTTACATAGGTCAATAATAAAGGGTAAAGATCGGTTTAACAAATTCAATAACTAAACGATAATTTTCATGATAAAGAAGCTCAAATTTGGTTAGGTTCTGTAGGCCTACTATATCAGTTATTAAGTTTAAAAAATAAGAAGGCAAAAAACGTTGTACTGATGGTGGCTCTCACATGCCCATGACATGTTCAGCAAGCATTTTGTCATTAGTAAGAGTAAGTAATATTTTTATATTTTATGGGTATGTCTAGTTGGAAACAGTTATTAAAATAAAAGTCAGGCGAGTCGTAGATAATTAGTTTGAAAGAAGTGCCAATACTTGGAATTGTTTTTTTTTTTGGAATACTTTTTGAAAATAATATAAAATGTTGGGGATTCTTTTGAATTATTGTGCATGTGATTGTTATTATAATTATTTGACTCTAAGAAATCCCGTGGAATGTAAATTTTGTAATATCTTGTGAAATTTCTGATATTGTGGTAATTTTATATAACAAATTAATTTGATTGTTTCTATTCAAAAGGTAAATGAATATTTATCTCATTAATGTTTACATATCAAAGTATAAATTGTGACAATATAAAACAGGGGTGTATAATATAATAAAACATGTTTTACCATAATTGGTGACAAAGAGAGGGGGGGGGGGGGGGATTTAAGGTACACAAATTGGCTAAAATAGTGTGGATGGCCCTTACGGGAATTCATTCAATATTATGTTTATAATTTATTTTGAAGTGATTGGGTAAGCAGAGTTGAGCCCTAGGTATATAATTTGGTTTTCTCCGGGCTCAGTTTGTTATTAGGGTAATGCCTGTGCCAAATATATTTGACACTTCCTCTTTCCACTCTTTCTGCCGTCAACGTGCCATTGTCACCAGATTACAACTTAATCAATGGATATATCTAATAAATGTCAATAATTACTTTGTCAAGTATTTTAAAAAACCTGCAACTGAAATTGTGAGAGGAAAGGGGGGCAGGTTGTTGGCAGGTCTTCCAGCACATCTAAGGCATACAATAAAGTTGCAACGCTATATTTTGCACTCTTCCTCATAGTTTGTTTATTGGCGGCAAATTATGCCCCATTAGCATGTAAAATAACAAGGTCAACATTCACTTATCAATTAAATTAATTCTGAGTGAATAACAAAACGATTATGTCTCTTTTGCTAATATTTGTATGTACAGAGCGGTGAGTCCAGCCCTATGCTGGGGTACCACGCTATATAAGACCACTAATTATTATTATTATTAAAACAAATGTTATTGAGTTAGTAGGACTATTCACTCAAATTCTGTACCTGATGATCCTATAATTTTGCTGAATAAATGCACATTTTCAAATACTTTTCAAGCAAAAGCTTTAATTAACAAGCATTAAGCTATTTTAAATTTATCTTATATTTAAGAAATGAAAGCAACAGTATAACTGAAAATTGACAAAAAAAGCTAAAAATCTTTAACAGGGGCAAAGCCCTCAAACTTTAAAATTATTTAAGCTTGTCTTTTGATGGATCAAGGGTAGTTGGATAAATCATTTTTTTTGTTAGTGAGAAATCATTGCAGAGTTAAGTGCCCCCTAGTCAGTTTTTGGTCCTCTTGAAAATGTAAACATTACACATGCTGTGTGGAAAAAATTGCTGTTTGCTGTCATTTCTTTATTAAATGGGTCATGTGATATATAATTTTAAAGAGAATTGGATGCTGAATAATACTGAAGAATTGTTTTGGAAAAATATATTAATTTGAATTAAGGTAAGTCTTCTATTGGGTTCTCTTACATTCTCCACCAGCTGCAATTTTCATGATAACCACTGTTTAAAGTATCCAATTATCTACTACAATGGTAAAATAAAATTCCCCAACCTACTCCAACCTTATCAACTTTTCAAAACAGTCACAACGTTGGTGATTCCTCTCTGGATACAGTTGTCAAGATGGCTGAAATTTGCTTCTATCCTATTTAATATTTTTAAATGTTAAATATCTGATTACTAAACAATGTTAAAAGCATTATTTTAAGTTATTTAAGGTAAATATTATTAACAAAGAAGTCATATAAATAGATATTTCATTTTATTTCTGTATTTAAAATTCTAGATCCATTAAATAGACTTATTTAAAAATTGATCTCAGCTACCTGATAAGTGTAGTATGGAAATATTTTATTTTTGCTTGTTTAGGCTTTTGCTGTGGATTTAACTGCAGCACCCCAGGTGGGACCCGTTAACCTTGGATGGCAATTCATCTAAGAGAAGGCTAACTCTGCTATCAAACCCAGTGGTAATGGAGCCGAATAAGCGGTGTGACATTGACACAATGAAAATTTTGGCAACTCCAGAAAACATGGAATGCTTAAAGAAAGAACAGTCACACATAAGCACCCTAAGGAGTGGGACACCTATCTGGCACCGTTGTTGTTCGCCTACAGGGAAACCCCTCAGGCGAGTACAGGATTTAGTCCATTTGAGTTGATGTTTGGGCATCGTGTGAGAGGACCGTTATCCATCTTGAAGGACCTGTGGACAGGTGAGGCAAATCCGGAGGTGAGGAACACTTATGAATATGTTCTCACTATGAGAGAAAGGCTCCAGGACGCTCTCGAATTAGCAAATGAGCATTTGAGAGAGGAGCAAGATAATCAAAGGAAGCACTATGACAAAGGCGCTAAGATGAGATCTTTCCGACCGGGAGATAGTGTGTTGATTTTGTTGCCCACTGAGAAGTCCAAGTTACAGATGACTTGGAGAGGTCCTTACGTTGCTGAGGAGAGAGTTGGACAGGTGGATTATGTCATTAATGTTCTTGGGAAAAGAAGAACATACCACGTGAACATGTTAAAGGAATATGTAAACAGAGAGAAGACCGTAGAAACAGTGGCAGCGGTGATCATAGAAAATGTTAAAAGGGGAAGAGTTCAGGGCCTCTTTCTAGAAGGAAAGTGGAGTTACAACTATCACAAACAGGACGGGGGAGAGATATGAGAAAGTGTAATAGCTTAGACGCAGTGAGGCGTGATGGCAGGGATAATGTGGTCAAGAAGTACGCGCACGTATGTAGTTACGAACCTGTGCAGACTAATGTTTGCAGAAGTAGTACACAGTTAACGGACCACAGGCCAAGTAAATGGAAGAGGTACTCATCACCAGTTGCGATGAGGGAAAACTTTAAGAAAGTTAAGAAGTCGGAAAGTGACAGGTTTAAGAGGAGGAACCACTGGAAAGTGAATTCAAACGCATTATATAGATTTCAAACACCGGTTGCTAATTTTGGGGAAAATTAGCTTAAGTGGGAGCATGTGTCACAAAGTAACTAGTAAGCCAAGGTCGGCCAGAGCGAGTTAGAGAGAGGGGCAAGGATAGGGGGGAATAATTAAATACCATACATGGTGGAGGGTTCGGACCTGGATGCCACAGGGGTTGGGGTTAATGACCAACTGAAAAGAGCTGGCGTGTCAGCAGGATTACCGGCATCTGACCAGGGGCTAGCTTATCAGATTTCCCTGGAACGACCGTTGCGCCATCGCGCTACGGGGGTTTAGGACCATTTCAATTGTTCGCAAATTTAAGTACTGGAAGATTTGGGAGTCAGATTACAGACATGTGAGGGAACCTCCATGGGCTCAGGAATTATAAATAGGGACTGTTGGACAGGACTGGGCAGAACTCAGCCGGACAGGGTAGCGGACAGTCAGGGAGAGCTCCGTCCGTAGAAGTAGTAGAGGACTGTCAGAGTTACCATCCACATAAAGCAGTTAGGCATATATTTATCAACAACGTGTTGGTAGACACCACTGACCACACTTTGAAGAACATTAGAGAGAGGGGAAAGAATTGGACTTGGACTTAACCTGTGCCAGTTTGCTAGAGAGCTAAGTGCATGTAAGGTGTGTGATTAAAGAAGCTGTAGGGTGGTTTGTGTGATCAAGAGTTACGTTAGGTAGACGGTAGTAGCTGAGAAGATGACGGTGAGTATCTAGTTGGAAGTTAGGATTGATCACATAGTGTAGGGGATTTATTCATATATTTCAGGAATAGTCGCCCTTTATATTGTCGTGAGAGTAGATGCTAGCAGACCGACCATCTCAAGCACTTGGCAGTGAGACGAACGTGTATAGTTCCACACAGAGCAGCGACGAGACCCTAGACTGAAGACTGTCCCACGAGACTCCACCAATAGAGTCCATAGCGTGTCGAGAGAGTCGTAAACTAAAGTGCCTGTAGCGTGCAGTTGAAGTCAGCACATGTGCTTGAATGATTGAGATTATAAGACAACCATTATAAGTGTCTTAGTGTATTTTTAAATATAAGTTACAATTACATTACATCATATGTTGTGCTGTATACATTGAGTTTCATTTCAGTCACTTATACATTTTAGATAATAAACTAGAAGTAGTTATTTTAAGTTAATTGCAGACTTCTTTGTTTATTGTGTTTCCTTGTTTTGTACAAACAAGGTGGTGTCAGTAAAAGGGTAGAATTTAGACCCAAGCGTTACGTATCGTGAAGGAGCTCATGACAATTAATTTAGTTTGTTATTTTAAAATACTTCACCAAAAAATAATACTTTGTATTATTATATTTAAAGGCCTATAAAATGAATTCATAATGTTAATCATCAGGAATCGTCTGCATTAGTAGATTCCGAATCTATTTGATGGGCATTTTGAATATTAATGAGCTCATCTTGAATAATGCAGAATTTATTACATAAAAACTGTTTGGATGATGTTATGTTATGATGATCATGGATATATATATAATAAATAGGCCTATATATAATTATAATAAATATAATATGATATAGCATGGCATGACCAGGTTATCTTCGTCTACTTTATTAAATTTAAATCCTTAAATCTTAAAATGTAAATGCAGTGTCAACACGTCTGGTAGCCGGACAAATAGTGCGGGAGATATTCATCCGGTGGGCATGTCATGCTTTATTTAACATTGTCACTTATTAACCATGACCATATGTTCATTATATTATATTGGCCTATATTATACTTTATCAGCGATAGTTCTAGTATTTATTTTCTTTTGTAGAATTGAAAACATAATTCCTTTTTCATGTAAACGTCATGATTATCTTGAATTAGTTGAAATGTAGTACCATAAATGGTAATCTACCACTTGAGCGTTGGCCAAGAAAAAATCCAGTTTTTCTGGTTGGAAGGGCTATATAAACAACTATATTTGCAATTTAATGAAATTCTCTTTTTAACATTTCATCCATCACTATCTGTGAAATATGGCATATGGGGGGGGGGGGGATGTCAATTATGTCTCAATTAACAATATTTTTTTTTTTTAGAATTGACATACAACCATATATTTGGTATCAATCACAATCATTCTGAATAATTTAGAATTCGAATTTAGAATGAAATGAATATTGCTTTTTTCATGCCATATCAGTTAATCAATATTAATATTAGATCTGAGATAACATGAATCATGCCGCCTAATCATGCGTCATGCCATATTCATTAATAAATATCGTTCCAATCTATTCTAATTCCGCTGACTGTAAGTACCGGCTATGTGATCAGCATTTCATCGAATCTTAGTTAACTGCTACCTTAACTGTGTTTGTAGATTCCGAATCTATAATTTTATACAATTTTTTTGCATTTAATTGTAGCGATGGATGTTGTCTCTAGGTATAGTGCGTTACTTGTTTATGTTTATAACAAAAAAAATTCCTCCAATAATAGTAATACTGATTACCGAGAGGCTAGATATCTACGAAATCTACCTAGAAATCTAAATCGCGAGGGGATTTTAACCACGCACAGACATACTACTCAAATGTTCAAAAGCAAATTTAAAATCTGAGGAGGTCATTATGACATAAAATTTAAAGCTTTATCGATTTAGTTGTAAAAACTGTACAAATAATTTTGAAATAATGTTTAATGATATACTAACTACTAAATGAAATGTTGTTAAAACTTAAAACTCAGCAAAGATTAGAATATGATAAATAACAAAACGAAGGTCAGATAATTTTAAAGAATCATTTTATGAGAAGCTGGAAATGAAAAATCCATGATAACTTCAACTTATAAGTACCACACAGAGCTGTGTGAATAACGCTTCGCTATTAAAAAAGCCATTTGCGACTTAAATGTAAAAATAAGAAAATGAAAAGGTCTTTATTATACAAACTACTGTCAAGGAGAGTCTGATAGTGCAACATATGAGATGCAGGGGGGAAATTTAAGTCCTCCAGCTAAGCATATCACTTTCCCAATATCCTGAAAATATATTTTGCCATCATTTAGTATCGAAATTTGAAAATACCTCCAATTTTATAGGCGCTCAAATCGTATTTTATAGAGCTTAAACTGAAATTGTTTTTAAATCCTTTATATTAACGTCACTTTTTCTTCGTGGGTTGCTGACTGGCTGGCTGGCAAAATCTTTGGACGGCTACTTGACTCGATTTCCGTCAAACCATCGAGCTGAAACTTTGCACATAGACTCGTTGCCGATGGCAAGACAAGCTATAAAATTTTCATCCCCAACCCCCCAAAATAGGGTTTTCCTGTTTTTCAAGGGGAACATAAAAGAAAATCCCTGATAACTGTGCTAAATGAGATTCGTAATATATATATTACCGAGATGAGCTGGGACATGGAAGTTCACCCTGCCAAGTGCCAGACACTATCAATCTCTAGAAGTTGTACTCCTCTACACTACCAATACAAACTGCACGGCCATATTCTTGAGCAAGTGTCCTCCGTAAAGTACCTGGGTGTTACCATTTAAAGAGAGGTCCGCTGGGACGAGCATATTAACAATGTATATAACCAAGCAAACAAGACCCTAGGGTTCTTAAGGCGAAATCTAAAGATTGGCAACTCCTGTGTGAAAGAAAGAGCATATAAAGCCTTTATCCGTCCGATGTTAGATTATGCATCTTCAGTCTGGGACCCATTTACACAGAAGAGCATTGACAGGTTGGAGACGACAACAATCCAGGCTCTCCATGATGTACAAGATAAATAATGGGCTGGTCCACTGTTCCAGTATTAAACAGAAACTCGTCCCTCTCCCCCATAGACAGCGACGAGGCCATGACAGGCAATTCAGGCTCATA